ATATGATCTCCCTGATATGAGGAAGTGGAGATGCAACATGGGGGGGTTGGGGAGTAGGAAAAGAAAAAATGAAAGAAGATGGGATCGGGAGGGAGACAAACCATAAAAGATTTAATCTCAAAAAACAGACTGAGGGTTGCTGGGGGGAGTGGGGACGGGAGAGGGTGGTGGGGATATGGACATTGGGGAGGGTGTGTGCTATGGTGAGTGCTGTGAAATGTGTAAACCTGGTGAGTCACAGACCTGTACCTCTGGGGATAAAAACACATTATATGTTTATTAAAAAATTTTAAAAAATTGTCCCTAAGACTTTTTTAAAAGATTTTTAAAAAGATGTATTTATTTATTTGAGAGAGAGTGGGGGGAGGGGTAGAAGGAGAGGAAGAGAAAATCTCCAGCAGACTCCGTGCTGGGCACAGAGCCCGACGTGGGGCTTGATCCCATGACCCTGAGATCATCACCTGGGCCAAAACCAAGACTTGGACACTCAACTGACCGAGTCACCCAGGCGCCCCTTGCCCCTAAGACTTTTTATTAAGCGATGTTGGGACAAGTAGCTACTAACTTGCTTGTAAAAATAGGAAATCAGATCTGCATCTCATACCCTCTACAGCACCATCAATCAGAGACCTAAACGCAAGCTCACGGGCCGTGCAGACACAAGAAGAAATCATAGATGTGAATGATCTTCTCTCATAACCTGGCATAGGAATGAATTTCTAACAAGGACTCACTCACAATCTAAGGGTAATTTTTAATAAGTTCATAAACATTATTTTATTTTTTATTTTTTTTTTTTATTTTTTTTTTATTTATTTATTTGACAGAGAGAGATCACAAGCAGGCAGAGAGGAAGGCAGAGAGAGAGGGGGGAAGAAGGCTCCCCGCCGAGCAGAGAGTCCAACGCGGGACTCGATCCCAGGACCCCAGGATCATGACCTGAGCCGAAGGCAGAGGCCCAACCCACCGAGCCACCCAGGCGCCCTAAACATTATTTTTTAAAAAAAGCTTTTGCAAAGCAAAACAGCTCAATAAAAACGAAGTTGGAAACTGTAGGAGTCAAGAAAAAATAAACTCAAGACAGAAATGGATATATATGGACCGCTCATAAAAAAAAAAAAAGGGGGTAAGGCCTTTAAGTGTATGAAGAAATGCTCATATCACAACATATATTGCATATTAAAACTACCATTTCTCAAGTAACCATCTGGCAAAATTCAAAATCTTGAAAACATAGTCTGTTGGCGAAGCTGTGGGGAAACAGGCCCTGTGTTCATACTGGGGGAGCTGGGCGTGGAGTTTGGCCACATTTACAGAAAATGCACACATGTGTGTCCTTCGATCCTGGAACACCGCATCTAGACTCTTCCCATGTCCCTGAGTAGCTACACTTTTTAGCCTTTTTAATAAGGCTTAGACATCTGAACAACAGAAATGCCTCACATATTTTTTTTAAAAATTAGATAAAAACAAAAGGAGATCATGGGTGCCTGGCTGGCTCAGGGGTTTGGGCATGCAACTCTGGATCTTTGGGTTGTGAGTTCGAGCACCATATTGGGGGTAGAGATCACTTAAAAACAAACAAACAAAAAATCTTGAAAACAAGCAAAAAGCAGAAAAAGCAAATGGAGAACAGTGACCCTTCGTGTTAAACATATTTAGAAAAAAAAAACAATAAACCCAATGGTCCATAAAACTGACAGCGGAAGTCCACACCGAAAAGAACTAACCCAAGCAGTTTTGACCTCGTACTCTTGGGATGACGTATCCTAAGAATGTAAAGTAAAACCTGACAGAAACAAATGAGTGGTTAAGCATCTGCCTTCAGCTCAGGTCATGATCCTGGGGTCGTGGGATCGAGCCCCGCATCGGGCTCCCTGCTCAATAGAGACTTGGCTTGAAGATTCTCTCTCCCTTGTGCCTCTCTCCCTGCTGGTGCTCTCTCGAACTCTCTCCTCAACAAATAAATAAATAAAACCTCCCCCACCCCAGATTTTATTTATTTATTTGACAGACAGAGATCACAAGCAGGCAGAGAGGCAGGCAGAGAGAGGGGGGGAAGCAGGTTCCCTGATGAGCAGAGAGCCCGATGCGGGGCTCGATCCCCGGACCCTGGGATCATGACCTGAGCTGAAGGCAGAGGCTTAACCAACTGAGCCACCCAGGCGCCCCTAAATAAAATCTTTTAAAAGAAATAAACTGCCACTGAGAATCTGAGTTTGATTTGTCCATTTTGAAAAGAAAGGAAGGGCTCAGCAGGACGGGTTCTCAGAGGAAGTGTCACATCCCGTACGAATGTGGAGAGAGGGGACAGGTGCATGAGCCAGGAGCCGTCCCCGTGCAAGGACCACAGCCCGCAGAATCAGCCGGAGCTGCGTGTTGATGCTGCTGGGACCCCCACCCCGAAGCACACTACCTGTTTGTTCCCTTTGGGGGAGAACAGAGACCCTGGTGCGGGCTGCAGGAAGGCCCTGGAGTCACAGCTGCTGACCCCAGGCAGCGGAGCGGCCAACAGGAGGGGCAGACACAGGTGTCAGAGGAGCGGTCAGCAGAGACCTCGGGTCAGCAGAGACCTTTGGGGAAGGTGCCCCAAACAGGCCAAAGTGGAATGCTGAAGGCCAGCGGGGCAGGGGGTTGGACGTGAGGAAGGGAGGCGATGCAGGACAGCAGCAGGACCGTGGGGAGCCGCCGGGAAGGTGCCAGTGCGGAGACGACCGTGGTCAGGCTGTGCTGATACAGGTCCACGTGCTCGGACGTGGCTTCCTGTCTCCACCACGAGTGAGGAAAGTCACCGCTATCCATGCCCACCTTCTTACAGCGCATGTCATCACGCGAACAACTACAAATTGTGGCACCAGGCACGCCTGGGCGGTGCAGTTGGCTGAGCGTCTGACTCTTGGTCCCGGCCAGGGTCGTGATCGGCTCAGGTCTTGGGATCGAGCCCCGCATCAGTCCCTGCTCTCGGTGTGGAGTCTGACTTGGAGCCTTTCTCCCTCCCGCTATGCCCCTCCCTGCTCTCTCTCTCTCTCTTTCTCCAATAAATAAGTGAAATCGTAACAAAATAAAAACAAACATAAACATCATGGGGCCTTGCCCACTGACCTCTCAGAGGACCAGCAGGTACATACACGTGCACCGTCTGCTGGTCCCAGACGTAGACCTTCTTCACGAGGAAGTCAGAAGGAGTCGGCTGCTCGGAGAACCTGGGAGGGTAAAACAAAGCAACAGTGTCTAGTCCTGTTAGTTGTTTCTGCCCAAAGACCTCAGTCATAGGGTTTTGAGCAAACATCCTTCTGGTGACAAGGACACAGGCTGGGACTCCATGGCATCAGTGGGCTTTCGACAAGGGCCACATGACACTGTCACTCCTCACTCATTACAGACCAGGAACTTCAGGACGGAGCAGGAACGGTCACCACGCAGCCTGCGGGAACAACACCGCGCGGCCCCACGTGCTTGGGAAGGTGGCCGCTAAGGCAGACGCCCCCGCTGGTCAGAGTGACCCACTCGCGGTACCTGCGAGCCACCAGAATGGGCAGGTGGCGGACCAGGGGCGCAGCGTAGTCCCTGCAAACCTGGTTGGGACCAACTGACCTTTGTCCGCGTGACTTAAAGAATGAAGGGAAAATCCAATGGAGAAAAGACATTTCCTCCAGAGAAGGGTTTGGCTCATGTGGCAGGAGGAGGGTGTAGCCAACAGTACAGGGAGACACAGTGCACACGGTGCAGACGTCCCCCTGCAGAAGGCCACCTGGCTGGGGGCCACCTGAGCGGGGCAGTGGGACAAAGGGAAGCATTGTCAGGTGGCCCGAGGGGAGGAGACAGGCTCCGACAGAACCCAGGCCGGTCCAGACGGACCACGAAGCTCAGAGCCAGTGGCCTCCACGGGCACTGTCAGCGCAGGATTCCCCAAACCTAACCACGTGGGCATTCACTTAGTGCGCCCTCGTGATCTGTTCATGAAACGGGCCTGCACAAGCCTCACAAACTCAACATCGCTGACAGAGAGGGTTCGTTTACAGAGTCCCCTCCGACACATCAGTCTGAACACATCTTTTTCTTAAAATAAATAATAGGATTCAGACCCAGGTCTACACTGGGGGAGGACTGGATTCTGAGTGAGGCTCCCTGTGTTATCACTGACACGCCCGTGTTTCTTACTCTGACAAGCTTCGTGGACAGGAATCCAATCTCAGGGAAATAAAGCAGGTGACTATGTCTCGTAATTTCATCAGACCATGAACCTCAGGACTGTGTGGACAGTGCATTTCACTCCCTGGTTTTCACGAGATGCTCACGATTATGAATCATGTTGTCGTTCTTGTTGCCGTCCGGCTCCCCTGGTGGCGATCCCCCCACAACACACCTTACCAGCAGCATGACCGGGAAAGCTCTCGAGACGGGCCTAGAAAATTCTATCCTTATGTGCAGAGATTCCTGGGCGTTTGCGGAACGCCCGACGATCTGATGAACATTCACTCTATCCCGGAACAGCACAAACGTCGTCTTATTCCTGTTATCCTGTCCCAAATGGAAAGCAAGGTCAGCGAAGGCAGGAAAAGCCGGCTGGCACGGCCCGCATGAACTCAAGAAGGCCTGGAAGGACCCCTCACCAGGTCATCGTCCTCCCCGAACTCCACGGTCACGGGCTCCTGTAGCCGCCATCTGCGGATGGGTTTCCTGCTGGAGCAGCTAAACAGGGACGGGGCGATCACCTGGCCAATCTGCGGAGACGAGAGCACTGAGGAGCAGGGGGTGAGCAGTGACGCCCCTCCTGTGTCCTGCTGGGCACCCGATGGTAAAGGCAGCGCGGAAAAAACGTGGCTCCTTTAGCTGGTCAGGATGGCAGGATTGGAGGACGCCGTGCTGCTCTTGGATGGTTACTCTCACTACCTTGATAATTTTTAGCCCCTAACACAGTTTTTTTTTTTTTAAAGGGGGGGGGGGCAGAAGAAGAGAAGGAATCTTGAGCAGACTCCCCGCTGAGTATGGAGCCTGACACGGGGCTCGAGCCCATGACCCTAAGATCATGACCTCAGCCTAAATCAGGAATCAGATGATTAACAAAGGCCACCCAGGTGCCCCAGGAGTTTTGCTGTTTCCTGGGAAGCTCACACAGAAAGAAAGAGTAGCAGATCGTAGACTGAGGGGACAGAAAGGTGTAGAGAACACACTGGCTCAGAGAACCACCTGGGGACACCATGTCTGAAACTGTCTCTGTGCTCTGGCTACGTACGCAGCACATGGCACACGTTCTTCATTTTTCACATAAAATCTTCGAAAGGCACTCAAATTCCCCAGCTGATGTCATTTTAATCGGCTACATATGGATGACCGTAAATCATTTAAATCCCCAGTGGGCTGTGTCCCCGTTGAACATTCAGGTACGGCTCTATCTGGGTTATCGTGAATCCTGCTGTCTTGAATGAATAAAGCTACACATCTCACTTTGAGTAACTCTCTTCTCGCCTCCCCTGAAGGGTCCTGCAAGGGCAGCGGCCATCCGGCATCCGAAGCATCTCGGGAGCACTGCTCGGGGAGCACACACCCCGGATGCCTACTCGTGGCCTCCAAACAGGCCCCTCTCTTTAAACACCTGCACTGCCACATGCTAAAAAAGTCATTTTCATTTCTATTTCCTTACTGCCCATTAGTCTGAATGGTTTTCTTACGCTGGCTAACCATTTCTGTTTCCCTACAAAATAATAAAAGGTCAATGCTTTGGAAAACAAGCGTCTGTCACCTAAAGCTGTCCACATTAATTGGCACCTTCATCCGTCAGACATTATCGGGCCCTGGAGCCAGGCTGGGGTGTGGAACACATAGAAAACACGGGGCTCTGCCCCCTGCCCCAGCTCCCTGCCATTCCAAGGGTCCTTCAGATGGTTTCTTTCTCTTTGATTTTTTAAAAGAGTTTATTTATTTATTTGACAGAGAGAAAGCACATGCAGGAGGAGAAGCAGAGGGAGGAGAAGCAGACTCTCCACTGAGCGGGAAGCAGGATACGGGGCTTGATCCCAGGACCCTGTGGTCATGGCCTGAGCTGAACGCAGAGGTTCAACTGACTGAGCCACCCAAATACCCACCACCCTGGTCCCTTCTTCGTCATCAAAGCATCACCCCTGCACGTTGGTCATTGGTCATTGGCCACCACTGGCCATATTGTACCTGACCAGGAGCTGGGTGCCCTGGAAACGGGTTCTCCTTGAAGAGCACAAGCTGGCTGACATAGCACGGGCCCTGTGCTGCCGCCCCTGCGGGACTCTGTCCAGCCAGGTCTGCAGGTAAATGCACCCGGACGGAGCCCAGGCTCTGCGTGCAGCTCTGCAGGTCGCGATGGAGGAGCGTGCGGAACTCCATCCGGCCGGTGCTGACGTGGAGGTGGTACTCTTTGCTCGCAGAGAGGCCATCCTGAAACGGAGACAGAGAGCCAAACATTTGCAGTGCATAACGAGTGCGTTGTCTGGCATCCGGAGCCAGAGCCGAGGAAGCAAATAGTGGGAAAGGCGGCCCGTCTCGGCGTGGTTGGGATTCACTGGCCCCAGCAAACATTTTGGTATAAAGATATAAATGCCCAATAGCAATAAAACACAAACCGTTTTCTTCGGTTTTGACTCATTGTCCTGTGATCTTACTCGCTTTGCGACAGGTGTGATCCTTCTGTTCTAGTTCTCGGGGCTCCTCAGCACATCCAGAAGGAGGCTGAGCACCCCGCGCACTTGGCAGGGGCCGAAGCCCCGCGCCGTAGGGGTCAGCGAAGGCAGGCGGTAGGTGTGAGCGCGCACACGCATCGTTGCTAATCACGCTTGCTATGACCAGATTCAGACAGCGCGTTGATTTCCTCATTGCCCAAAAGTAAGGTAAACCAGTAGGGCTGGGCAGGAGGGAGGATAAATGGGTAGAATAGGAGAGAGAAGACTGTCTGTTAACTTACTGCTTCTTAAAAGCGGCCATTTCTTATGGGGGAAGAATCCCAGTAAATCCCAATTTCCCATAGTCAGTGCTGCGGAAATAAACTTTGGTGGGTTTCTCTGCAGTCAGGTGTCAGAGGGTTGCTTTCTACCCTGGCGCATGTTAGGAATCCTTTGCATAACTTCACTTAGCTCCTCGCAAAGCAGAAAGCGTGCTAAGAAACGCCGCTTCTAAGTCTGGCACCGCCCCAGACATCCCAGAAGGAAATGTCCCCAAGCGCGGAAGCATGGAGCAGAGGCAACAGCTCATGGGAAACTTGCAGTTCAACCCCCAGATTTTCAACGACCGCACGGCCACCCAGAACAATCACCACAGTACTTCTGGAACCAATTCCATTTCCGGTTTCTAGAAGCAGGTACCGGAGGGGATGGTCATCGCCGTGGCGAGAAAGTCGGGCTTACCACCAAGAGATCCGAGATGACCTCGATCCCCTCCTCTTGCAGGAAGCCCGCAGCTCCCGGTTTCTCCCGGTCACGTGCTTCCAAGACCTCAGACACGAGCAGGATGAGCTCACGCACCGGGCCCTCGTCCACCGCGAGCTTCCCCAGCAGCAGGCCCTGAGCCCGGAGCGCCCGGGCGGCTTTGAGGATGACAGCCGCACTCGTAAGACTTAACTGCGGGAAAAGGGAAGGTGGAGGGAGAGTCTCCTCATACCTGCGTCTTCCATCGCTGCTGGAAATGAGAGAAACGGCACCAGGGCTCGAGAGGGTGGGCTTCAAGCCCAGATTTGGTGTCTAGCGGATTCTTGGCCAATGGCATTGGTGCCGATTTCTTCTCTGGTCTTCGGTCTCCTGACCCATGAAACGACCACAGAATATAAAGGTCTCTACCGGCCGTTTATGCTAAGACGCTACTTGGTTGAAGCCAACGACCGCTTCACAAACCCTTCTTGAAATGGGCCCCGCCGCCTCCTACAGGTGTCTGGAGCACACAGACCCTCTTATGGTTCCCAAAGAACCAAGGCTTCTCCCTGCAATGCCCTTACCCTGCGTCGGCTGGCAAAATCCTACAGCACTCTTTCCCTTAACCCTGAGCAGGGACCATTTTCAGACACACACGGAAGCAGAGAGAAAGATACAGTGCTGTGACAACCCCCTCCCAGCTGGGACCGTTACTCATCACAATAAGTGTTCTAGCCCTCCTTGGACTCCTGGGTTTGTTTTTAAGATTTATTTATTTGTTTATTTGCGAAAGGGAGAGCGTGCCAGCAGGAGGGCACAGGCAGAGGGAGAATCTTAAGCATGTTCCACGCTCAGCATGGAGCCCAAGGTGGGGCTCGATCTCACGACCTCGAGATCATGACCTGAGCTGAAATCAAGAGTCAGAGGCTTCTATGACAATGCCCACAAGGCCACGGTCACCTCGAACAAGATGACTCATGAGTCTTCCCACTTATCTTTTAAAACCAATTTCAAACACCCACCAGGCAAAGCACTCTGCACCAGCACCTTTCTGGAACACCCTGTCGTCCTCACTACAGGACCTGGCATGCTCACCGAAGCGTACGTGTTCCCACGTGTAGCTTTAGTCATCAGTGCCCGAAAGACAAGGGGCATGGAAATGGGGGGCATCCAGGGGGATTTTAAACAAGTGACAGAGCTGGGGACCGTCCCACAGAGAGGGGGAAATGGAAAAAGCAACAAAGAGCTCAAGAGCGGGAGCCAGAGATTTGAGAAGAAAACAGGAGGAAAAAACTATATAGAACTTATAAGAATGAACACCCAAAAAACAAATAATCCAGTTAAAAAATGGGCAGAAGAGAGTTGCCCCAGTCGGCCAAGCATCGAACTCTGGCTTCGGCTCAGCTCATGATCTCAGGGTCGTGAAACTGAGCTCCCCATTAGGCTCCAAGAAAACACAAACAGAAGTTTCTCCAAGGAGGCCATCCAGGCGGCCGACAGACACATGGGAGGAAGCTGCACATCGGTCATCATCAGGGAAATGCAAATCACAGCCACAATGGGACACCACCTCCCACCCGTCCGAATGGCTGAAATTAACAATCAGGGAACAGCAGGCGTTGGTGAGGATGCGGAGAAAGGGGAGCCCCCGTGCGCTGCTGGTGGGAAGGCGAGCTGGCGCGGCCGCTCTGGAAAATGGCACGGAGGATCCTCGAAAAGTTACAAACGGAGCTACCCTACGACCCAGCAATCACACTATGAGGTATTTACCCAAAGATACAAAAATACCCGTTCAGTGGGGCACCTGCCCCCTGCTGTTGATGGCAGCATTAGCAACAGAAGCCAAACCACACAAACAGCCCAAGTGCCCACCAACAGATGAGTGGATAAAGATGTGGAACATTTATGCAATGGAATATTACTCGGCCGTAAAAGGAATGAAGTCTTACCCTCCGCAATCACACGGCTGGAACTAGAGAGTATCACGCTGGGCAAAATAAGTCGGCAGAGAAAGACAAACACCGTATGATTTCACTCGTATGTGGAATTTAAGAAACAAAACAAACAAGCAAAGGGCCCAAAAAAGGAGAGAGAGAGAGAAACCAAAAAACAGACTCTTCAGTGCAGGGAACACACTGCTGGTCACCGGGGGCGGGGGGGGGGGCAGGGAGGGAAGCAGGTGACGGGAGGAGGGAGGGCACCTGCCGTGATGAGCACCGGGTGACATAGGGAAGTTCTGAACCACTGCGTTGTACACCTGAGACTAATATTACGCTGTGTGCTAACTGGATGGAATCTAAATAAAAACTTGACAACAGAGAAGGTGTGAGCTGGAAAACCCCAGCACTTGGATTAAGAACAGAACGGTCCCCTTACCAGAAGCATTTAATGCATGGGTCATACTGTCAGGGCCTGTTTCTACTTTGGGTTTTCTAATGTATGTATAAGGGAAGAAGTTCCTCTCCAGTGATTTGGGGTGGGCAATGCCATTTAAGGGTATTCTCAGAGCAAATCCCCTTTCTAATTTAAGTGTCAAACATAACCCTGCACTGTGGGTTCTTCGAGAACAGATCAAGGTCCTCCCAATTATGCAAAGGAAAAAAAAAAAAGGCAGGAAAATAGACTTGGAAAGACACAGCACTCACCTTATGAGGGAAGCGTAGGAGGTTCCTTAACAGGGAAATGGAATCATTCATTTCTTCCTGATCAGGAGAAACGAGCAAACACACAGGGGGGCAAAGTTAGTTACGAGTTACGAGCTGCATCGTCCGCAGTGCACTCTCAGACAGAGCGGCCCAGGCTTCTGAGCTAAGACACGGTGGAGGGACCGTCCCCCTCGACCTGCATTGCCTTCTAGGGCCCCATGTCCTCTGGGCATTCACTGGCCTCCACCAGCCCAGCAGGAGTGTGACCAGAGTGTGCCTGCCAGCAGAGGGGAGGGGAGGGAGAAGGAGGACAGAGATCAGGGAAATTCTGGAAAAGGGTGAGAGGCCTCAGGGAGGGAGAAACACCATGGATAGGAGTATCAGGGTCACAGGAACACAAGGGGCACTGTGAGATGCAAGTGCTCTCTAGTGGTGAGGGGTGGGCAGGAGGCAGAGACACGCAGTGGCAGTGACCGAGGACAGTGGCACTGAATACATGCCCACGTCCTTAGAAGCTGCCCGTCATCATACACTTTACTCTGCCGTTTCAGTGTTGGCAAGGTCAAGTCAGATGGGACTTGCATCGCTTGACTTAGAGAAACGAGCAGAACAATCTGTGTGACACTGATGCACATGGTCTCACTTCTACAAACCAACAGCATTTGTTTGTGAAAGTATGAGCAGACGAGAGAGGCCTCACTGTCTAGCCTTCTGGGTCCCATTTCTTGACCGTGTTTCCTAAGCAAGGCGGCCTGCTGGTGAGCCAGGCAGTCAGGGGCCCTGCCACGAGGACGCCCACCTGCGGGCTCTGAGCCCGCCCTGCTCCAGCCCGCACCTGATCTGCGAAAGGCAGCCTGCACGCGGAAGAAATCAGCATATCCTGTATTCGTGACCACTGGCCACATGAGGGACTTCTGTCCTCCGCAGCCCAACGAGTCAGGACCCTGGTCATCATGGTGATATAGTTCCTGATCTCTGTGTAGCTGCCCATCAGCTGAAGGGTAGAGAGATGCTTCAGGCTGGAGTTATAGCTGAAAGAAATCCAAGAGTTACCAGGATTGCTCCAACACACGCCAAAGCTTTCTAGCCTGCTGACCAGCGGAGGACGGAATTTTGCTATGGAAAGCTTCGTGGGTGGGTCAGGGCAGACAGGGGATGGTTCAGAGGACAGACCACCCATGTAAGAGGAACTTGGGAAAGACACAGTGAGGCAGAACATCAGAATTCCATAAAACCCCTGATCAAAACTGAGACAGGCAGAGTCGCCCAGTGGAATGAAAGTGAGGGAGGACAGAGCTAGACCAGACACCGCTGTGGCTACAGTGGGCTGGAGGTTTGCAAGGACCCAAACCCACAACCACAGCCCAGGGCACACTCAGACCGCACTTGTGCACTATGTAATGATCACCGACCGCACACCTTGGCCACGTGGGGTTTATACCAGGAATGCAAGAGGAACTCCAGGAGGAAAATCAGTCAAGGTAATTACCACAGTAATGGACAACCCACATACTCATCTCAATAGATGTGGCAAAGCAGTGACAAAATCCATTTCCCTTTCATGATAGAAATACCTCAAACCTAGGAATATGAGGGAACATCTTCAACCTCAAGAAATACATGTACGGAGAAGCTACAGCTAACGTGACCCTCAATGGTGAAGCCAGACGGCTTCTGGCCTAGACTAGAAGCAAGACCAGGATACACGCACTTGGCTCTTCTAGTCACCATTGAGCTGGAAGAGTCTCACCAGGGCAGTTAAGCCGGGGGGGGAGGCGTCATCCAGACTGGAAAGGAAGGAGTAAAACTCCATCTGTAGAAGGCAGGCTCTTCGACACGAAGAACCCCGGAGAGCGCTCTAAGAAACTCTAGAACAAGTAAATGAGGTTGGCAAGGCTGTGGGATACAAGATCAATCACATAAACGCCATTTGTGTATCTACACACGAGCAGTAAGAATCCAAAGCCAGACTTTAAGCAAACAACTCCATTTACAATAGCACTAAAAAGAATAAAATGCTGATAATTAGACTTAACCAAAAAATTTAGTACCTGTACACTGGAAACTAGAAAACATGGCTGAAAGAAATTAAAATCTAAATAAGGAAAAATGTTATCCAATGGTCATTAGATCCCGTATCCTCAAGACGACGATATTCTAGAGTGATCGACAGACTGAGTGCAGTCCCTCTCAAAACCCCATGGGGCTGTCTGCGGAATCAACAGATAATAACCAGGAGATCCAAAATAACCATCTGGAGAAAGAAGAACAAAGTCAGTGGGCTCATGCTTCCCGATGTCAGATTTTACCACGAAGTTACACTAATGAAGACAGTAGGGTGCTGACATAAGTCACACACAGAAGAAGGGAGCGGAATTGAGACCCCACAGCGTTTATGGCCAACTGGCTCTTGACAAAGCGACTAAGGCAATTGAACGGTGCTGGAAGTGCTGGACAGCTCCCTGTAGGACCCGACCTTGGAGCCTTACCTCACACCACACACACAGCAGCCCCAAGTGGGCCGTAGGGCTCAGTGTGGGAACAACAACTGGAAATCTACAAGAAAACACAGCAATAAAGCCTATGGCTACACCAAGCAACAAAAGAGAACATTAGTATGTTGGATTTCATCAGAATTACTCACTTCTGTGCTTCAAAGGACACCACGTGGAAGAGAAGACACAAACCACCGACTGGGGAGAAATGTTTGCAAATCATGTCTCTGACCAGGAACATGCATTCACAATATGTGAAGAGCTCCTCCAGCTTAATCAGAAAGAGAAACCCAACTTTTAAACCAACGAGCTGAACAGACATTTCTCCAAGCCAGATGTGCAAGCCCATGAAAAGACGCTCTCCACCGCTAGCCATGAGGGAAACGCAAGTCTGGAGGGACAGCACACACCTTTGAGCGGCGCTGGGTGGCCAGAATGAAGAAGAGAGACAGTACGGTGCAGTGTAGAAAGGGACAAACTGGAGGCTCGCAGGAAATGGGGCAGCTACTCTGGAAAGCAGTCTGCCTGTCTCCCCCACATGATATGCATGGGACGACCCTGTGAGCCAGCAGCTCTGTCCTTAGGTACATACCCCAAAACAATGAAAACACATGTCCACACGTCTGTTCCTAATAGCATTGTCCCTAATAGTCTGAAGTGGAGACGCGTCCCCCGTCTGCCAACCGAGGAAGGGACAAGCAGCTCGTGGCAGATGGGAGGGAACAGGGCTGTGACAGACCTCAAAGACACCACAGCTAGCGAGAGGGGCCAGCACACAGGAGCACGGGCTGTGACCCTATCTGCATCCATGTCCAGCATCGGCCCATCTGTGGATGGGAGGTGGGCTAGCGGCCGTCTGAGGCCGTGGGGGAAGGAAGGTGACAGGTAACGAGCCCACAGGTTTAGGGGACAAAGGAGATGATCCCGCTCTAGGGCTCAGGAAGCAGGGGAATGTCTATGTAAGTGCCCTGAAACCGAGGGACCAATGGCACGGAGAGGGCAGCCCAGGACGCCCCGTGTTTGTAGGCCCCAGCGAACCTGCACACACCCTGCACAGATCTGAGTTAGGATCGCGGAGCTCTGGCTGTTTCTTTTGCTCATCCCGAGAAGATGGGCCCCCGCCTGTGGCTGGCCTAGGGGAGACCCTGCTTCCGAGGAGACACAGGCATGCATGACAGTGTCTCCATGCAGCTTACTCACGCGTCCTCATCCAGGCAGAGATTCCCGTGGAAACGGGGCAGGACGGTCACTGTCACGGTGCACGGCAGTGCCCGGGAGCCCACGCCGTCTGTGATCGTGGTGGACACTGTGACTGGAGAGAACATGGCAGACGAGGGTCACGGTGGAGAGCAAACCCTAGGAACCAGGATTTCTGTGGCGCGAACCTATGTGCCCAGGATGCTGACGTCCTAACACAGCAAGGCGCGGACTCTGAGTGCGAGGCTGTCCTGCCCTTGCGGCGAGCCCAGCGTTCCCACATCCAGTGTCACACGGTGGTGCAGGACGCTGAGTGCTGGAGGCCAGGGGCCGGGCAATGCTCCACCCACTCACTTGCTTGTCTGACCCGCAGGCCCCTTGTGCCCACGGCGGCAGGACCACACTGGTGAATGGGACACTGGGGCCACAGGAGACCAGAGAATGAAAGCCACGCCCGGCAACAGAGGGTCAAGGGTGGGAGTCACATTCTCAGCAGACCCTCAGTGATGTCCAGAAACAGGGCAGGTGCAGAGGAAGGAAGAGAAGCCAAGTCTGTGTGCCATCCCGGGAGCACGGCAGGATGTGGCTTTGCTGGGGCCACTGGATGCGGGCCTGGGAGGCAGGCCTGGGGTTTGCGGGGCGGGGACACGTGGATGATGCTGCCATGGAGGCCGCGGAGCCAGCCACAGAACCACACAGAAGGCAGACCAGAGGCGTGCCAGGGGTGTGAAAGCCTTCTCAGCCTGAAACACAAGGGCAGAGAGTGCAAGAGAGCCGGCGGAGTCCAGACCAGTCTCCAACCTGACACCGAGTCCGTGGAACCTTCACGCAAGAGGCGGACAGGACAGGATCAGTATCACTGTCCCTTATTTATTCCGCTGGCCTCCACCCTTGTAGGACTCTGGAAGTCGTCGACCATCCCGGTGTTGACCACTGTAAGGCCTTGCGCACTCTTTGGGAATGGCTCGAGTGACGTCACTCACCCTGACACTGCTCGGTGACCGTGGCTTTAAGTTTGGCTCCACCAATCCGTGGTAAGAAACCCTTTTGTCCAACATGGAGCGGAGGCCTTGCCCCTGACATCCTGTGTGGGTGTCTGCCTGGCCCTGTGGTCTGCAGGCCCCTGCGGACAGGGTCCCACATGGCCCTGCAGACGGGCATCTGGGGCAGGGTCCTGCCGGGCATGAACCAAACACAGGACTCCGTATCCAGCACCAGCAAGGTGGGGGCCTGGGGGGCGGACATCCATTTGGACGGAAGTTTCCAGGAGACAGAGGGCACGTGCAGCTCCACTGAGGAGGAATTTACGATGCAGGCCGGCAAGCCCCACCTCTGTCCGTCCATCCACCCAACACGCGCTGTGCTCGTCATGACACGCGGTGGACGCGTCCATCCTCACGGAGCACAGCGTCTGCCTCGGAACACCTCCGCTCCGTATCTCTGACCTGCACCCAGGAGCAGGCGTGCATGTGTCCAACTTGGGGTCAGGCAAGGCTTCATGAAAAAGAAAGCTTTCTGGCTGGGCTTCAAGGTTTAAGGACACCAAATGGATGAGCAAGATCAGACCTTAGGTGGAAATAATCTCACCTTGCCAGCTCCAAGAAAGTTCTAGATCAGTGGGTCCAAGTTGCCTGCACCGCAGAATCACCTGGCCCTGGAGGTTTGTTCAACGGCGTGGGTCCCACAGATGAAGCCACGTTCCTGAACGGCTGAGTCTCTAACAGGCTCAGGGCGGGCAGGCTCCTGGGGTCTGGGAAGTTGTCAGCACGGAGAGCTGGTCTTGTTCAGAGAACGACACAGGCTACCCCTGTATCCCTTTACCCCGGCCTCCTCCTCATGGGGGCAGCCCCTCAAGTTGGTGCCGTTGACAACCAACTCAGGACTCACCAGATACCACAAACTTCCTTAGTGAGGAAGGCACAGCTTAGTCTCAAACAGTTAATTGATAAATACTGTGAGGGTTCGGCATTTTGGTATTTACATTATGTTTCCACTGTAATGTAAGCTCTCAGTTGCTTAAGTGTCTGCTTTCAGCTCAGGTCACGATCTCAGGGTCCTGGGATCAAGTCCAACGTTGGGCTCTCTGCTCAGCGGGAAGCCTGCTTCCCCCTCTACCCCTCCCCTCTGTTCATGTTCACTCTCTCTCACTCTCCAATAAATAAAAATCTTTAAGAAAAGTAAATAAAAAGTAGGTAATCCACCTAATCTAAAAGGCATGAAACTTTCTGAGATGAACAGATAAGAATTTCGTTTTCCAGATACACAGTCTGGACATGTCCTAGTGTTCAGAAGCCGGGGGAAAGGTTTACAGCCATAAGTGAGCACACCAGCCCCTCAAACCCACAGCCTGACTTACCTTTGTAATCGTCTGAGGGCTCGCCGGCTGGCAGTGTGGAGTAGTACTGGCTGTCTCTCCCGTGGTACAGAGTGTGTTTGGAGGCATTTCCTATCCGATAACTAAATTGGTAACGGAAGTCCTAGGATCCGTTCCATGTGGAGCAAAAAGACAGTGTATAGATGAGCAAACCGTGAATTACATCCCCAGTAAGCACACGCCACTGTGTTCTTCACGCCCCCCCCACCCCGAGAGCTCGTGTACCGACAGGCGGGGGCAGCCACTGACTTCCCATCCCCGAATGTACACGCACACGGTGGGATATCGCCCCTCCAGGGCCCCTCTCCCAGATCCGAGAGGACCCCACTCCGTGGCCGCGTCTGTCACTCAGGGTTGGGTGCGCCCCTGGCCTGGGAACTCCCAAAAGCCACAGAGACACCGATCCCTGGGCCTGCTCAGGGTGAAGGGGACACAACAGGCGGGGGGCGGCAGCGGGGGCACTCATGCGAACAGCCCTCCAGCTCTCGGTGTCAGAACAGCATTTGGAGAGAGAGGGAGGGAGAAACCAAGAAACAGACTCTTCACCGCAGGGAACACGCTGCTGGTCACCAGAGGGAAGGGGGTGGGGGATGGGGAAGCAGGTGATGGGATGAAGGACGGGCACTGGGTGACGCAGGGGAGTGTGTCTCTGTGCTGTACACCTGAGACTCAGACTGCGCTGCATGTGGACCAACTGGAATTAAAATTAAAACTTAACAACAGAAGCACTTGGGGGCTCAGAAGGTTAAGTGTCTGCCTTCGGCTCAGGTCATGATCTCAGGGGCCTGGGATCGAGCCCCTGCATTGGGAAGGGGAGTCCTCTGATAAATGGGGTGGGGGTGGGTCTGCTTCTACCTCTTCCTCTGTTTGTGCTCTCTCTTGCTTTCTCTCTTTCAAATGAATAAATACAATCTTTTTCAAAAAAATAAACAAAACTTAATAATAAAAAAGGAGCAGGGCACTTGGGTCCGAGAATCAGGCCCGAGAATCAGGATCAGACCCTCCAGGGATGCACGTGGTGGGCCTCTGAGAGAAGGAGCAGGATCGGGACAGGAATGGGGCGGTGTGTCCCCGAGTGTGGGGAGCACCATCACGGCACTCCGGCCGCCGGGGTGAAGCTTTGCGTCCCGCAGTATCTCCCCTGAGCGCTGGCCAGCCCCTCTGAGAGCGGCCTCTGCCCCCAGACCCCGGGACAGACTCGGGGCGGCCAAGCGTACCGGTCTCCCTGACATGCAGAAGATGCCGAAGATTGTGTGAGCCTCGAGGCCGTGATGTGGCTGCACCTGGCAGGCCACGTCCCGCGGAGCCTGATTGAGCGTCACGAGCAGCTGAGCCCTCCCCAGGACGCGGTGCGGGGAAGCTGCAGACGGGAGGACGAGGGTTGAAAGCCCCAGAGAAAGACAGCGGCACGGTGACGTCCTCACAGCACAGCCTGGGGGTTGCCAGGGTGCAGAGCCCGAGACCCGCCCTCCGTGGGATTCTGGCCGTGCAGGACGGAGGGGCACGCCGTGGAGCCCAGCACAAGGTCAAGTCAGAGAGAAGGGAGTGGCGGCTCTGTGGCCCGGCGTGTGCGGGAGCCCGGGGGTGAGTGCTGCTGCCGGACGTGCGGGGCGATGAGCGGGGCCGCCCCGGGCCGCCTGTGCAGAGGTCAGAGTCTCCACCACGGGAAGGAGCGTGACCTGCCTCAGAAGATGGCCCTCAGGCTCGTCACTTGGACAAATGTGGCACCAGTGGCGGGGAGGGCCAAAGGTTTGTGGGGCGGAGCTTGTGACAGCAGAAGCAGCATTGTGTCTTGTGCCAAACACAGGGGCCTGGGGGCCCGGTTCTGAGCGCACCGTGGGAGGCGCAGGGGGACATCTGCAAAGCTGTCAGCAGAGACAGGGGAGCGAGAACAAAGCTCGGGGACGCTACGGGCCCTACCGAGGGGTTTCGCACAGACAGTGGCCTTGTGTTCCTCAGGAGAGGAGGCCGATGTGGGAGACAAGCCTGGAAACGCACCCCGGTTCCAAGTAGCCCAAACAGGGGGACTCCGACCCCAACCCGTCTGCGCACTGTCAGATCCCCTGCACTTGTCACAGGGAACTAAAAACCGCTAGAAATGGGGCAGAAGGTCCAAAACCACCCCCCAAAGGAAGATGTGATTGCGTCATGGACAAGGCCAGAAGGGAGGCGGAGTGGGCCACCAGGTCAACGTGCAGCTGACAGACACGGGCCCCACAAACACCTCCACCTCCTGGGTTTTACACTCGCGCCGGGTTATCAGCCAGTTCAGGCAAAGGACCAACGTGCACAGCTGTCTTGAGAAATCAAATAAAGACAGACCTTGTTTCCGGTTTTATAAAGGCCAACATCTCAGCCTTAGCTGTGACCTCAACACCCACCTGACCCCGTCAGGATCGGAAATACAGGAGAAGGTGAGAATGAGCAGTGCGGGGCCACGGGGATGGAGAGAGGAGGGTCAGGACGCTCTGGAACAAGGGCCCGGGAGGTCAGAAGTGGCTGCAGCTTCTGGAAACAACCTGAATTCGATGGGAACACCCACCCTCCCACGCTCCAGGGCCAGCTGAGCGTAACGTACCCACAGAGGCTTGTAGGACATAGGTGTCCCCGGGGCTCAGTGAGAATGGCTTTATTGTCACCATGCGTCCTGTGATACCTGAGGAGAAGGGGCCGCAGGGAACGGGCCATCAGCAGGCTCTGCAGGGCAGGGGAGACAGACCCCTCTGTGCTGGCTTCCTCCTACTCCTATGGATCATGCTTGCTCCGACCTGCAAATGCTCCCAGAAGTTCGCCACCCACCCTCTTTATGGAGCTGGAGGCTCTCCTCCAGCCTCCCTTGGCCGAGGACAGCGACCCTGAGTAGGGGCCTGGGGGGCAGGCCTGGGTCACACTCAGCTCCCAGCGACGACGGGATGCTGGCGGGAGCTCACATTGTACCCCTCGTGGTGCCTTCTGTGTCCAACCTGGCTCGCTGACACAATGACTTTGTCCACAAGGCATGATTAAGGCATTTCAAAGTGAGTTTTTCGCCTCGAAGGACACCAACAGTGAACCATTTCTTAAATCTGGGTGTGACTGTTGCCCATTGGTGACAGCGGGCAGAGGCTGACCCAGAAACGCAGGCTGGTGGTCTCAACAGGGAAACTGTCATTTCCCAAAATGTGGGGGTGAAGAGGGAGGAGGCAGCCACCTGACAGTGGGAAGCCCAGAGCCTCCATGGGGGGAGGAAGTGTGGTCCCAAGTGTCCCCACAAGAGGCGGTAGGTCAGCCCATCATGAATGCATGAAGGTAGCTGTACCACAGGAGCAGTGACCCGGGGCCACTTTGTGGGGTGACTGTTCCCAGGCAGGAGGACATGGCTGTTGTGCACACGGGTGTTGGGGTACCCGGCCTCGGAGTCGTGCATGGGCACCAGCTCAGCGGGACCCCCCACCACCACCCTGTTTGCAGGCACGGCTCCCGGAGGGCCCCAGGGGCACGTTCTGCCTTTCATAGGAAGCCTCCGCCCCCTGCAGGCCATGGAGGGACACGCACAGGCAGAGCAGGCATGATGACCCCAAGGACTTCTCTACTGAAAGGAAATGTTGTGGAAGAAACGGAGGGGCCGGTTCCCAAACCCTTGTCACCCGGCTGCAAAGCCCCGGATCTAAAGGGAGGGCTCCTACCGGAGGAGGTGTAGCTGTGGAAGCGAGTGCGGCTGACCAGGGACTTGGGCCAGTCCACCAGGAGGGTGGGCCTGGCGGTGGCCAGGGGATCCAAAGGGCCCAGCAGGTTGTCCCCGTCCCCGTGGCCTCCATCAGGACTCGAACTCGGGCTTGCTCCCAGGAGGCTAGCATCAGCCCCTGGGAAGATAAGGCGAGTCAGCACGTGGTCCAGGGACAGAGTCCCACTGATCTGAAACATCATCTGTAACTGCGCCAGCATTGCTTGGAGCCCGTGTCGCAGCACCCACGCTCCAGAGCTGTCCTTCAGCACCGTGCGGTGGGGGCATGACGGGCTGTTCCCTCCCCCCGGCCTCGACTGCTCTGCAAACAGCCTGCTTGCTGAGCCCGGAACTGGTCCCCGCAGAGCCGCTCACCAGAGCGACAGGGGCCAGGCTGCCAGCGGCCCAGTGGAACAAGTCAGCCCAGCAAACCAGACGACACTCGCCACCTCCGGGCTCCAGAGCCGGGTGACCGTGAGCAAAGACAGATAGGGGAGGGCGTGGGGGGGTACTGACTCAGAGCCGTGGGCCATCGGCTGGCAGTCCCCTGGGAGGCGAGGTGCGGACAGAGGCCAGAATGAGCTCTGGAGTGAACACTGGAGAGAGCTTGGAGATGTAGCTGGAGGGGGTGGGAAAGAGGGAAACCAGGTGGGGAGGAAGTGCCAGAAAGCCGCCCAGGACAGGTCTGGAGGGGGGGGTCTGGGTGTGCCCTGAAAGCACCCGGGCTATGTGTCTAGGCGGTGGGAAGGGAGGCAGGGACAGAGGAAGGACTCCTGCATGGTCCAGCACGTGGCATGGCAGGACCCCGTGGAGAGCAACGGACTCCAGGCTCGTGGTCACGGACAGAAGACGCAGTGAGAATGTGACCCCCCGTTCTGAGCGAGTCACCGTCAGGAGGGGCAATTTTACGAATATAAAGTTCTCTTCCTTCAGTGTTACTTATTAGACACCCGCTGTGAGCGTGCACCTGCCACTTACACGTGGTTGTGGCCGCAGGAGGGAGCACAGATAGGCCTAACGATACCACAGAGGCAGGAGGAGAGGAGGAGGAGAGGAGGAAGCCGGCAAAAACACGGAGCAGATCCCACGGGCAAACCCTCCACGACCGTCCAGCTCTTCCGTCCACGGACACACTGTTCCCCGCCCACACAGCTCCTCCGTCCACGGACATGCCGCACCCTGACCGTCCAGCTCTTCCATCCACGGACCCACTGTCCCCTGCCCGCACAGCTCCTCCGTCCACGGACACACTGTCCCCTGCCCGCACAGCTCCTCCGTCCATGGACACGCCGCACCCTGACCGTCCAGCTCCTCAGTCCACGGACACACCGCACCCTGACCGTCCAGCTATTCTGTCCATGGCTATATCGTCCACCAACCACACATCTGTCCACTCAAGAACACACTCGCTGTGGGCCAGGGTTCCAGGCACCATGGTCGTCTGGGATGGGGGTCCACACGCTCCCTGGACGCGTCCTTGGAGGGCTAGAGCAGGACAGCCAGGGAAAGAGCCGCGAGCATCGCATGCACCGCTTCAAGCACTACAAGTACGCTGAGCTGTCACGGGACGGAAGGGATAGGACACAAGACGAAGGGGACGCCCGGAGGAAGGAAACAGAAGCCGACCGAGAGGAGGCAGCGCTTCACAGTGATGTCCCGGCAAGGGCGCTGAGGGGATATTTTCGGCATCGACTGCCTGCGGACCAAGGCTTGGGAGTGCAGCAGCGCCTGCCTGTGGGGGTGGGGCTGCCTGGGGTTCTGAGTACAGGGGACCCGAAGCGTAGCAGTGGGTGAGCTAGAAGATTCGGGCCAGATGTGCCCTGCGTCTCTGGGAGCTCTCGGAGCTCGTGCTGTGGGGGAGCGGAGGGGCAATTCCCGATCTCAGGGGCTTCAGAGACTAGACTGGCGTGTGGACGGAGCCCCAGGAAGAGGTGATGGTCACAGACTCACAGTCAGCTGGCTGTCTCCCTCTGGGCGGCACGGCTTCTTGGAGATCGCTGTAATAGGCTTCAAAATCTACATGAGGAGAAAAACAGGCCATGTCACGGAAAGCCACAGACTTCCCCAAAGTCCACACGACCCTCCCGAGGGCACACACGGGCTGCCAGGGTCTGAGTCCTGAGTCCACACCCGGCTCCACGTGTGTCACTACGTCACCGCGACGGTGGAGGCACGTGTCTGCGTGTGTGGCTTTCCAGGATAAGCCAGCCGCTGGGTGCAGGCCGAGGCCGGGACCCCACTCTCCAAACTCCCACTGTCCCTTCAGAGAGCGTCGCGCCCCCTCCTCTCAGAAGGAAGAAGGGGACACAAGCACGTCCTGCTGCAGACGTTACTGTTCTGTCCCCATGGCGTCCTGTCCTAGCAGCTGACCTGAGGCCAGGGGTCCTGGGGCAGGGTGGCACCTGCCGGACCACAGCCCAAGGAAAGCACAGTGTCAATGGTGACAGCGGGGAGGGACAATGAGGGACAGGCAGAGTCTGCGCCACAACTTTGCTCCCTGACAACGACCTCCTTTCTCGACTTTGGAGGCCCAGAAACCATTTCTGGGCAGCCTGAAAACCAGCGATACCGTGAAGGGCCTGGTGCTAGGAAGGACAAGGGACGAGGGAGGCTGTGTGCACAGACAGCTGTCAGAGCCTGGACAGGTTTGCGGGTGTGAGGAAGGCCCTGAGACCCTATGAGCATCCCACAAGCTGCGCAGATGTGACGGGACAGGGGCACTTACCAGAGGGGGTGGGGGATGGGCCTTGGGGGGACGACCTCCGAGGGGGGCTGGGTCCTGGGGAACGCCGGTCACCTGCAGCAGGAACCCAGTGCCCGCTGACTGTGGGCCCCGAGGAGGGTTTCCTGGTGGCTGAGAGGACCGGTGGGGCCTGGGTCTGTGGTGACAGCTCCCGAGAAGACAGTGTGCCCATTGCATGGGGCTCCAGCTGGCTCGGCTCCATGGATGGTGGACTGGGCTCTGGCAGCTTTGAAATGGCCCCCAGGCCAGCAGCGCCCAGCAGCCCCACTGTTCTGCAAGAGGGGACTTGAACAAACATGGAGCCGGGTGAGACGTTCAGACCAGAAAAACTATGTGGTTGAAAACAGTCTATGGGGGCATCTGGGGGGCCCAGTTAGTTGGTTGAGCGTCTGACTGTTAGTTTTGGTTCAGGTCATGGTCCTGAGGTCCTGGGATTGAGCCCCACACTGGGCTCTGTGCTCAGCGGGGAGTCTGCTTCTCCCTCTCCCTATGCCCCCCACCTGCTTGTGCCTCCCATAAATAAAATCTTTTAAAATAATAATAATAATAAATACAAAGGTCTACAGATTCCATTGGCATGCCATTTTAACAAACGTGACCCATCTCTGAGAAGGACACGTCCCAGAAAATACCGGGGAGCATGGTTTTCACCTGGAGGCAGGCAGACCACCCCCGGGGAAGCAGGGGGGCGGCGGGCACCGTAGCTCCCCCGGGATCTGCTCGCCACGGACTCCCGCTGCACCAGCACGCCTGGCACGTTTATTCACGTCTACTCTAGACACTGTGTGGGTGTGTGGAGCCTCTGACCCGCGCTCACTTGTCCGCGTCGCATGAAACAACTCTAAAGAACGCTGGTATAATTACGAGAAAGGATGAACGACAAAGAGAAAACCTCTACGGATGTGACATGAGGACGTCTCGCTAGAGTGAGCTTGTCCTCGCTGCTGTCACAGAGACGGGTTCTGTGACAAGGAAGGGAGACACATGGCCTTCGGACAGTCACTGGCTTGGCTCCAAGTTTAACCACGGGGGGGGGGGGTGCGGTTTGCCCCGGTTCCTCCCATGCGTTCCCCACTGGCTTTGCTTCTGGAAAACCCAGTTACGTTGGGAATGTGAGAACAGCTCCCCTGCAGAAAAGGGACAACGGCCCCCATGTGTTCCTGCCCCCCTCTCTGGGAGGTCCGCTGCACTCAGAGCCCGTGTATGGAACCTTCGTGCGGCCCCGCAGGACGGGTGCAGAGTAAGTGTGGGCCTCTGAGGCTTCGGCACAAGCTGCTGCCCCGGGAGCCAGCCACACCCAGCTCAGAAACACAAGCTCCTCTGTCCGCCATTCCCAGCCGTCCCTCTCGTCACAGAGGCCACGGGTGAGAACCCCTACCCCTCCTGGCTTGCACCCAGGCCGTGTCCCATCCCGGAGCTGGCACGTTCTCACAGGCAATCTCACGTCACCTGGCCACTGCCCTGCGCAGCGCTGGGACCCACCCTTCCCACCAAAGAGAACCACCTCCCGGAGAAGGGCCTGAAGTCGCAGGTCTCAGAGCCGGGGCGAGGACTGGCCCCAAGGACAGCAGGAGCTGCGAGGGACGGAGGCAAGTTCTGGGTCGTGTGCAGGTGCTGAGCCGCAGTGTTGGGGCATCTCCGTCTCCGTGAGCATAAAGGAGAGGGGCTGGGGAGCTCGGTGTGATGGGCACAGCCAGGGACACTGGTCTGGACGCCGCGGAGCCTGCGTATTCTCAGCAATCCTCGAACACCGAGTCCTCGCCTGGGTTAACAAAATGAAGGCAGCCATGACCTTACCTTCCATTCGGGTCCTTTCGGTCGCGTTGACCAGGAAGAGGTCCCAGGAATAAGACAGGTGGGGCCCTTCACCACACGCGTCACACTCGGCTCGAAGAGAAAGCTCCTCGTTCCAGTTAACAAACACGTCCTTAAAGCTGACCCAGGAGATGTGGACGAACCTGTGCCGTGTGAACCCGGTTGGGGATTTTAGGGAGAACACCGGACAGTCCGGCGGCCTCGCTCGTTTGTGCTAAGTGCAGGTTGGTGTAAGGGCCGGCACGCCTGAGCACTGCGGGGCGGCCGAGCCTGCACCCAGCTCCCCCCTGCACCACCTCATGACACGGGCCAGGTCCCAGGACGCACACGCACCAAGCGCAGAGAGGGTGTGCGAGTCCTCCAGGTCACACAGAGCTCAGGGCAGAGCCCGGATGGCATCCTGGCCCTACGGCCCCCTGAGCCTCACCCCACGGCCCCCCAACCCCAGCCTCACCTGCACTGTCCACAGAAGGGAGGCCCCCCCCGAGTGCTCACCTCACCTCGGGGCTCCCTCTGACCAACCTAAGCCTCACCTGGACATTCCCCAATGGCCAGGTATGTTCTTCATGTCCCGTGGCTTCACCGCCCCCTGTGGTCTGGTCCCACCCCACGTGAGGAACCCCGCTGGCTCCCTCAGTTCCGTGGCCCCACAGCCAGGCTCTCTCACTGACTAGCACATGCAGTCCCTTAGGGCTTTACGTGGTACCCTGGGATGGCCACCAAGGCCTGATTCACAGGACCTTCTCCTGAGAGACTCGGCAGCCATCAGCAGGTCGCGGTGGGTGAGCCCCCAGGGCGCGTGGGGGGCCAGCATCTCCCATGTGAAGGCGGCATGCCCGCACACGTCTCACACTGTGGCCTCTACACGTGGCTCCCAGCGCAGGACCCTGGGGTGGGGGGAGCCCAGCACGCGAGGCCACGCAGTTTCCTCGAGAGGCCTCGGCCGGCGGGTCCCTGTGTGTGTGCGTCTCTGTGTGTGAGCACGTCTTCCTGCGGGGGGTGTGTGCGCCTGGTGGGTGGGGACGGGGTGGGCTCGGGACAGAAGAGGCCCATCCGGCCCCTGCCCCCGGTCGTGGTGCGCAGGCCCGGATTGTGCCTGACAACATTGACCAATGACCGCCCCACACCTTTGCACGATGAATGAGTATTTTTAAGTAAAATCTTTATCTTGTGAGCAGCAGAATTATATAGTATGTTGTGTTTTTAGAATAAAAGCTTATTCTAATTAATACTAATTAATTGAGATTAATTAACCTAATTCATATCTAAAAATCTATTAACTATAATTATCTAAATTACGACCCAAGGTTTGTAGTCCTGTACTGACGTTCCTTCACTTTCTTCTTTAAATATTTTTTTTACAGTAAGTTGCACACCCAACATGGGGCTTGACCGCATGGCCCTGAGATGAGAAGCCACGCTATATCGACTGAGCCAGCCTGGAACCTTGATTCCTGCACTTTTATGTCGGGAGCTTTCAGAAAGCACAGGAGACCTGGGTCTTGGCTGGACGTGGAGAGGCACCCACGCTTGTCTGCTGAGACGCATTTTTCATGGCCTCAACCCTGAACCCCAGGGCGGGGGCGGTCTCCACCAGAGTCCTCTATCTGACCTCAGTGCCACAGCTCACGTCCTCTCCTTTATGTCGGTCCTGGCCAGCCACAGCTAATTTTCTTCTTCCTCCGGGAAGCCTGCCAGAACCCACTCTTTCTGCACACTTTTAACCCCGAGCTGTTTTTACACAATAAGGCAATGGTAACTGCCCAGACCACTTGCAGGGTCCGTGTACAGGAGCAGCCCTGTGCGTCCCAGTCCTTCAGGCGTCCCGCTTGTCCCCCTGGGGGCATGTGGAACAGGTGCGGCTCACGCCAGCTTGCGTCCAGTGCTGGGCTCAGCGAGGCCCTCACTCAGGTGCTGGCCTGGCCTCCCTGTTGCAGGTCTGCTTTGTGGCTGGAGCACGACCTTGCTCCCTGCGCTGCCCCCACATCACCACTGGCCCGGCCGCACGATGCCTGGAAGGTGCTGCGCAGAGGCCTTGAGATGCTTAACCTCTGTCTAGTCTCAGCCCCAAGCCCGACAACAGACCCTGTCTTGGGACGGCTGCTGGGACAGGCTCCGCCCCTGTGCCACTGGAGCGCGGGCTCCGCCGCCCTCACTGGCCAGCCCCATTCCTCCTCAGCAGGCTCCGGTGGCTCCCACACCTGCTGGGCAGGGCACGGAAGGGCCCGGCCCTTGGACCCGGCCTGCAGGGAGCGAGGGGCAGGCGGTACCTGAGCGCCGAGTCGGGGCGAGGGGACAGGAACACCTGCGCCTCTGAAGAATTCCGGCCGGCGCTGGACACCGTCAGCGTCACGACAAACTGATCATAGCTGTCGCTGAGAGAGTCTGCAGGGAAGGCAAGGGAGGGAGCCCCGGCATCCAGGCTGCGTGGCGAGGAGGCGGCGAAGCAGGAGTGCCCGGGGCTGCTGGCCACGGTGCATTTCCAGTGATAGCTGCGGGAGAAGGCAGCTGCTGAATGCACCTGCCCCAGCAGTCAGGGGACCACCCCGGCCACTAACGGGGCTTTCCTGGCCCAGGGGAGCAGGCAGGCCGGGCAGGCAGACTCTCTGATGGAGGCGGGGTGGGAGGTTCCGATGCTGGAGCAGGGCCACCAAGGTCAGGGGCCAGGCCCCACCCCACCTGGCTTACGGGCTCAGGGCCCTGCTCTGGCCCCATGCATGCCACCTCCCACCTCCACTGGTATCTCTGCAGCCTCCAAGAAGCACGCAGACTCTGACCCTGGGAAGGCCAAGGCTTCGGGGCCTGCCCGTCCCGGAGCGCAGGTGGACAGGCTAGGAGATGAGCGCCAGATGTTTCCCTATATAGTCCTCTGCCTTGTGACAGTCGCCACTTTGCTCAACAATCAGGAAGCCAGCCCCACCCCGGCCAGGAGCGGGTCCTCTGGGGGACACATGGAGGTAAGCAGCCCCACCGGGAGGTGTGGGAGGAGGAGGTGTGGGCTTCCCACACAGCACCCCGAAGTCCACACTGCTGCTCACCCCTCCAAGTTCACTTCCGTATCTGGACTGTGAGTGACCTGGACCCAAGCACCAGTTCTAAGCCTCCCTGTTTCCAGAGCCTGTAGGAACTTGGTCGGCGCTGGTCTAGCTCAGGCCCCTCGGGGACCAACCCTCCTCCTGGGCTGGGCGGAAATAGTCCCCCTCCCTGGGAGCGGACTCTGCCCGTCTCCACAGACACATGCTGAGCTCCTGCCGTGGGCACCACGCAGGGCTCTCAGCGAGGGTCCACAAGGAACAAGGCCCCGCTCTGTCTCCCGCGGCCGGGGCACGGGGGCACAATGCCAGTGTGTGTGTGTCCAGAACACGTGCGTGTGACCTGTGAGTCCAGCAGGCCGCCTCTCACCTCCACCAGCAGCCACGCTCGGGCCGCAGCAGCTGTCTGCTCTCTCTATTCAGAAATACCCCCGGACGACCCACTCTGTGCCGGGCACAGGGACATGCCAAGGCATGGCCCTGCCCGCCAGGGCGAACATGCCAGCAGGGACGGAGCGCTGATGAGGACTGCGGGATGTCATGGGGAGAGGGGGCTCTGGAAGAAGACACTGAGGAGTCAGCACGGGACAGTCATCACCGCGGGGTCATCGGAAGCCTCCCCGGGCACGTGACGTCCGAGCGCAGTCGCAAGGGGGCGGGGCGGTGACGGGGCTCTCACAGACTCTGTCCACCAGCTCGGTGAAGACTGGCCTGAACGCTGGGAAGGACCTTCCGCCCGCAGAGACGGGAAGGCTGCATGGGGACCAGGCCGGAGACGGCGGGACACCCAGCCTGGAGGCCAAGAACAGTGTGGACGCAGGATGCTTGCTGGAGGTGACTGTCACATGGATCCGGTCCCATCAGGAAATCAGGTGAGGCCACTGGGGAGGGCATGTGGATGGGGAGGGAACCAAGGCCTGAGCCGGGGACCTCCAGCAGCACGGGATGAGGGGCACGCGGAGGTCAAGTCCCCCCTTCATCAGAGCAAGAACATCAGTCACAGAGTAACGTGTTTGCCAAGGACTGAGGGGTCCCACTACGATGTGGAGACCTAACACCCCGTGTGACGGGGTGACGACGGGGGCCTTGGGAGGGGATTAGGTCGTGGAGATGGAGCCTCCGGGAAGGGACAAATGGCACTTCTAGGGCGGAGCCCCCGGCACCCCCTCCCCGCCCCCCCCGTGAGGACGCCGCGAGAAGAACCAGCTAGGAACCAGGAGGCAGGTCGTCCCAGACACCAAACGGCTGGCCCTCCATCCGCCTGCCGGCCTCCAGTAGACAGAAAGCCGCGTCCGCTGCCCATGAGCTCCGCAGGCTGCACGCACTGACACACGGCACCTCACTTCTCAAATACCGACGTCCAGCGCTACTCCCGTCTGAGTGACAGCCGTCCTCCGTCTCCCATATGTTCGGCTCCCGGGGGAGACGTGAGTCGGGCTCCCGGGTGCTCACCTGAGGACGGCCCCCGGGTGGTCTGGGTCGTAGGACTGGGAGCCCGTGAGGACGACGGGGAACGAGGGGGCTCTGGAGAGGAACAGGTGCGTGCCCTCGGAGATGACGCTGACGGGGGCCCGGGCTCGCACCTCCACCACCACGCTGTAGCTGCTGTGCACCACGCTGCCTTCCACCCGGACCTGGAACGCGGCGACAAGGGGGCGTCACCCAGGGGCCTGGGCAGGAGGCGTGCTGGAGCCAGATGCCCTCTGACGCTGCAAGGAGACTGGGGCACCCGGTGGGCTCCGTCGGTGGAGTGTGCGACTCTTGATCTCGAGGTCGTGAGTTTGAGCCCCACCTTGGGTGTAGCGATGACTTCGAAGTAAATAAATGAGTTCAAAAACAAGATAACGCTGGAAGGAAACTGTGAGTGTAAGCGTGCCGCCAGCTCCAACAGCGCCTCCCGGCACCGCACCGACACGCTCCATTATTCTGAACCCCAACCAGTCACCTGTGTCAGAGAAACCACCTACTGTGTGCCAGAGCAGCCAAGGTGGCTGGAGCAGGGGCGGACAGGGACATGTACTCACGTCTGGGGGCACACAGAGCTGCGTGACCCCAGGTACACCTATGAAGACATGGTCCCTGTCATCAGCACACAGGCCAGCCGTCAAGCCTGCTCCACCGACAGGAAGCTTGCCCGAGGTCTCAGCTGGCATTAGCCGGCCTCTGTCAGCTACATTTCTGGGGCATCTGGCTGGTTCAGGCAGCGGAGCAGCTGACTCTTGATTTCGGCTGAGGTCATGATCTCAGGATGGTGAGATCGAGCCCCGTTGGGCTGCACACGGCAGGGCGTCTGCTTCAGACTCTCCCTCTGCCCCTCCCCCTGCTCCCACTCTCTCTCAAATAAAATCTTAAAAAAAAAAACTACATTTCTAGCCCTCGTGCAACAGGCTTGAAGCAACGTAAATGAACTGTAAGACCACTATTCCGCAACTCGGGAATACTGGAACATTTTGTAAATCCGCCATTCAAAGGGCTCTTTGAGAATTTGACACAATCTGGAACAACAGCGTCACACTTGCTGCTCTTTTCGTGGGTCTGGGCCCAGTTCTTTGTGGCCTCCTTCAGAAAGGCACCCGAGGTTCCCTGCTGGTGGCTCTCCTGAGTGGGGCCCCGATGGCCATCTACCGACTGTGTGATCCCACTCCCACCTCCACCTCCACCGCTGGAGGAACCATCAGGAATGTCCAAAGACGGGGACGTGCGGGGGGGGCTGCTGGTCAGGATGGCAGTGACAGCAGGAGGTCTGCACATCGGAGAGTATGACCCCCGGAGGCAACGTGAGGACAAGCTCAGACATCAGCAGAAGCACCTCAACAGGGCAGGTCCCGTGACCCGGAGGAAGACGTGTCCGAGCCACTCGTGGGCGATGACAGGCTCGCGAGCAAGCGTGCCAACACGGAGCCGCCGCACCTGGTGGCTTGGATCGCAGCCTCCACTCTTTCCACACGGGCAGGACAAGTGCCGCAACCCCACTGTCCAGAGCCTGGAGGAAAGGAGCTCTCGGCACCGGACGCACAGGCGACCGGCACGTGGTCTCACCGATCGTGTCCATGCCCACATTCACACCCCTTACCCAGCTGCACGCACTTGCTCAGAACCAGTGGGTAGAAGGGAAACCCCATGGGCTGTCCCGTCCCTTTCTCTTTTTGCCAGGTCACATGGCACTAGCGACCTTACACAGTATGAACTGGACCCCGCAGGAATGGCCATTTCTAACAAAACCAACAACAGCATCTGGGGTCTGCCAAGTGTGGGGCCGGACCAGACACGTGGCCTCTCGGCAAGGCCGGCTAGACGCCCGTCTCAGACGCACTCCGCCGCCCCATTCGTGCCCAGCTGGGACGCTGGCCGTTAGGCTGGTAGCACAGTCCAGTGGCCCTCACAGGGTCTGCTCTGGCCCTGCCAGTCCAGCTGACATCTGCCGTTCCAGGAGTCACCCCCAGGTTCCTCAGCGACAAGGAGAGCCCAGGGGCAGTCACGGAGACAGGACACCTACTCGCCGCTGCCCAAGCAACATCGGATACAAAGATGTTAAGCCGTGTTAAACCAAAAAACAACACAGACCATTATGGGAACAGTGTTGTTTGTTCGTTTGTTTGTTTTTTTAAACTATAACTAATAACACTTTTCCACTATTTTAAAATTTAAGGAAAAGTAGTGACACAGATCCTTATGATGCTTAATACAGATGGACCAAAGCTCGCCTCCTTGTCTGGCTCCCTCCCCTGCCCCAGCCCCAAAACACAAGGGCTACGTGCCCTCCCTCCTCCCTCACTGCTCCCAGCCTCCGCCCCGAGACCCAGCACAGTCCCCCCACTCCCCCCCATCCACCTGCCCACCCCCTCCAACATTGCCATCACGGCCCGCTGAGCCCTGAGGCCCGATCCGTCCATCTCTGCCTTCCCCTGGTCTTCAGAAGAACCTCCTACTCACGTGTTCAGCCCCGTGTCCCCCCACCCACCCCCACAAACCCTGCATGCTCCTAGGGGACCGTCCCAGCCTCTGCCATTCTGGAACCCTCTCCCGACCTGGCGCGGGGCAGGGCTGGCTCACAGCCACCCCTCCCCCAGGAGGTGATGAGCTCCCCGGGAACTCTGAGACAGCAGGAAAACTCAGGGCCAGTCTCTGCCTGCGATCAGACTCTGCTCCAAGAAGCCAACTCTTCTAGAAAGGACCACGACATATTTTCACCATTTTGCAGCCAAAATACACCAAGTGCCAGCAGCAGCCCGGTCCGCAGGGTGTCCTCCTGGCCTCCGCGGTCTGACTAACGTGCCCTCCCGTTCCCGGCGGGACGCTCTGTGACGACACTGACTCTCTGACTTTTCGGGACTACCTCAGCGACACCGTCAAAGCACATGCTCAGGAGGCTTTTGCTAAAAGAATGAGATTTTCACGATGACTTTCCTGCGTTTGGACACGCAATTTGCTCTCTGAGAGGAGCTAAGCTTTTCTAGGGAGCCCAGCCCCACCTGTTGTGATGACCCTCATTATCTCGGGTAGAGCAGGTTGGAGGGACGGGGCTGAGCTCCTGCTCCGGGGCTGGTGGGACAAATGTCTTCTGGCAACCTACCCTGGCAAGAGCAGTGTAGTTGCCGGGCGCCAGGAAGTAGCTGGGGACAGTGACCGTCTGCCTGTGCGTGCTGACGGTGGGGGGCAGGGCCACCGGCCACCCCTGGGAGTTCCAGAAGGTCCAGGTGTAGGAAAGGCCTTGGGAGATGTCACAGAGGATCGCAGACTCGAACGTCACGGCCAGGGTCACAGGCTGAGACCGCCACACCTGCGGGTTAGAGAGAAAGAGGTCTCGAAACGTCCATTATGCTTGATGCCACAGAGAAGCATCTGGTGGCTCCGCGTGTTAAGTGCCTGACTCTTGATTTCCGCTTGGGTCACGATCGCAGGGCTGTGAGATCGAGCCCCACATCAGGCTCCACTCTCTGCGGGGAGCCTGCTTGGGATTCTCTCTCCCTCCCTCTGCCCCTCCCCTGCTCATGTTCTCTCTTTAAAATAAATATATCTTTTTAAAAAACCATTTTATTTATTTTTTTTCAAGATTGTATTTATTTATTTGACATAGAGAGACACAGCGAGAGAGGGAACAAGCACAAAAGCTTCCTTGCAGGACAGTTTAATGAAAATCTCCCACAACAAAGGGAAAAGGGTAAACGTCTAGAAGGAGTTGGGAAATGGGATTTTGAAACCGGTATTCCTTAACACTAGAAGTGGACCTTCGGCCTTCCTTAAGCGTTGTCCAGGGACACAGTGGGCTCTCTTGCTGGGTTCCAAATGACTCCCCCCTTCCCTTACACTTTCAGAAAATGTGTACAAGAAAAAAAATTATAAAGGAAAAATGGACTCATCAGTGTTGGTTCCTTTGTTTCAAGAATGAAAAATACTTGAGTCCTTCTCTTTAGAACAGAACCCCGGGTCACATCACCAGTAACAGTCTGGACCACATGCCGCGGATGACGCCCCTGGACCTTGTCTAACCAGGGACAGGCCACATCCGGTGCCTCAACCTGAGAGCAGAGTCACGATTTAAACGCAGTCAGTCTCCCCTGGTTGCTGGCCATCCCCGTCTCCATGGTAGGGTCCCCCTGACGTTCTGTCCATCCCCCCGACCCGGAAAGCCCACTGTCCGTGCACACACACAGGTGTGTGCTGGCCTAATGGGGGCTCGGGTCCTGCCTGTGAGGGGCCGTCACCATCCTGCAGGAGCCATGTGGCAGGAACCATCCAGGCCCTGCCCTGGGGGCTCTTCTGTGGGTCTCCCGATCCCCGCCACCTCATCCCCGGTGGGAGGTACCTGACCCTGGACCCTGGTCGGAGGCCCAGCGTGCAGTCTGGAAATGCGGCCAAGTCACGGCTGGACTTCCGTGTGCCACAGAGTCACGGCTGGACTTCCGTGTGCCACAGAATCACGGCTGGACTTCCGTGTGCCACAGACACTGCCGCTCTGACATGGGAAATCCGCTCTAACCCGGAGGCCTCAGAGGAACAAAAGAAGTAAAACGCCACCGTCCTTCTCCTAACCCACAGTGGGTGCTCCCTCCTGGGAAATTCACTCTAACCCGGAGGCCTCAGAGGAACAAAAGAAGTAAAACGCCACCCTCCTTCTCCTAACCCACAGTGGGTGCTCCCTCCTTCTCCTAACCCACAGTGGGTGCTCCCTCCTTCTCCTAACCCAGTGGGTGCTCCCTCCTTCTCCTAATGCACAGTGCAAGCTTGGGAAGGGACCAATCATGTCTTTGGCTGTTGACTTCACAGGAATCCAAACATTCCTTTCTCCTGAAAATGCTTGAGTGCTTGGCACAAGCTATTTCTTTTTTTAAAAGAAAATTCATTTATTTGAAAGACAGAGAGCATGAGAGACAGAGCACAAGCAGGGGAGCGGCAGGCAGAGAGAGAAGCAGGCTCCCGCTGAGCAGAGAGTGCAATGCGGGACTCGATCGCAGGACCCCGGGACCATGACCTGAGCAGGAAGCAGAGGGCTAACGACGGAGCCACCCAGGCCAGCCTGCACAAGCAATTTCTAAACAGCCCCTCAAAGTAGGCCGAACCAAACACCCACTGGTGTTCGATCAAGGCCAGTAAGGCCCCTTCAAGGCCAGGACGAGGCCCCCAACCTTGCCAGGGCCCTCAGAAGCCCCAAGAGGTGCCCCCCCTGGTGTCTGTTCCCCAAAATCCCGCTGTTCCCAAGCCCAGCCTACCTGCACCTTCCCGGGACCCATGTTCCGCACGGGGGGTGGCTGGCAGGGCTCCCGCACGATGAACAGTTGCTTTCGCAGGGAGGCGGCGCTGACGTCATTGAAGGCAAGGGCCTGGACAGTGAACTCTCCTTCCCTGCAAGGGCCACAGCACACAGGAATGCGAACACCCAGCCCGTCAGGCATCTGCCTCTCCTGCCCCCTTCCTAACAGCCTCCACCGTGTCACTGTGGGACCCGACGGCCAGACAGCCCACCCGTGAGCACAGAGGGCATCCACCCATGAGGCTGGTCCACAGGGGCCTCTGTTGCCTAGTTAACACACCGGCTACCCGCCCAGTGCAGGGCGAGCCGGATGCCCAGCTCCCAGACTGATGTCACCTGCTGACGGAGAAACAGTCGTTCCATGGGGACAGATCCCGGTGGCCATAGTCTGGCCCATCTGTGCCCCACGGGGTGACCCTCCATATGATGATGGGCACCCCGGCCCCTTATCCGGAAAGTGGGCATGATCTTCCCTCTCTGCTCCCTGAGTCAAGGGACCAGAGTGCCACCTGCTGTCATGGTGTGTCCCTAAGGAGAGTGGGTCCTGCTGACCCCAGTGTAGGCTGTGGGGTCCCCCTCAGGGTCCAGGTGGTTGGGGACCCCTGGGACACTCCAGAGATGAGGCAGGGGTGCAGAGCGGCGCGTGTCCATCCCAGAGCCACAGAGCATGTCCCCAGGTCTGGGGCCCAGGTGTGCCCCTGGGGAAGCCTGCCAGGGCGCCCCCACTCAACTCCTTCCTCCCGTGAACACCCATCTCCCATGGAGAAGGCACACAGGGAGAGCTCGCGTCGGGCCGTGCGGGCATGTCCTTGTGGGTGGCCAGGCCACAGGAGCTCTCGAGGAAGTCCTGCACTCAGGGAGGTTGGCCGTCTTTCCCTGCTGCTGCCGGCCACACAGGCCTCGCTTCTGGGCCCTTCTGCACCCATCACTACTTCATTACGGCAGCGTGAATGGTGCCACACCATCCGGAGGCCCAGCTCCGCCCAGAGGTCTGCACGGCCTCGGTAACCCAGGGTAGGACTCGCCCCCCGCTAAGGAGCACGGCCGGGAGGCTCAGGCTCAGACCTGGCCGGCCTGCCCTTCACCACTCCCCTAACCTCCACGGTGGAAAGCCTACGGTTTGTCTTGGTGGCTTCCCGTGGACATGCCCGCCTCCCCCAGGCAGGCCCAGAGGTGCTTGGATCTCCATAATGCTTCCTTCCAGGTAAACAGCAGGTGCTCAGTAAATGCTGAATGACAGGACACAGCCCAAGCTCTTCAGCCCACAGTGAGCCCCTGGCCGTCCTTCAGAGCACCTTCTACTTCTATCCGCACCCCCACCCCTCGTCCCACGGCTCTGTCCCTGCATCCTGGTGCTCACAGGGACTGCTTTCCTGCCTGCCGTCCCCAGGCCCTGGACCGTGAGCTCCTGGACAGCAGGTTTATCTGACTCTCCTCGGTGTCTGCCAACTGCACGCACTGCCAGGTTGGCCGCGGAGGACGAGGGGCTCACGCCTCACAAAGACCCTTCCAGCCGCCACCACAGAGCTGTGCCTGTGACCGAGCCGCTCACCTGCTGTAGGTGTGACTGGCTGAACTGTCCCCCGGGCCCACGGTGCCGTCCCCAAAGTCCCACAGGAAAGTGACGTCGGTGCCAAAGTTGAGCCTGAATTCAAACGTCACACTGGTGTTCAGCAGAGCTGAGGAGGGGGACGCGAGCCGATTGGCAACAATTCTCCTCTGCGTCCTGATGCGGCGGGGCTCCGAGGCCACGCTGCCCAGCCCGCTGGTGGCCCGCACCGTCACGTTGTACCTGCGGGGGGACCGCCGAGGGGGCAGGAAGGGCAGGTGGGGGACAAGAGCGGGTCAGAGGTAGAGAGCAGCTCCGAGAAAGGTGGGGGAGGGGTGCCTGGGTGGCCCAGTGGGTTAAGCCTCTGCCTTCCGCTCGGGTCATGATCTCAGGGTCCTGGGATCGAGCCCCGCATCGGGCTCTCTGCTCAGCAGGGAGCCTGCTTCCCTTCCTCTCTCTCTGCCTGCCTCTCTCCTACTTGTGATCTCTGTCAAATAAATAAATAAAATCTTAAAAAAAAAAAAAGAAAGGTTGGGGGAGGGGGCACTTTCATCTGCAGGCACCCCCCAGCCCCCACGGTTCCCCGCTCACTGGGAGAGGTAGTGGGACAGTGGGACCACCCCTCGTCTTCGTGTCAGTCATGTGCAGAGCGGCAGGAGCAGCTCTGGGACCGGGGCTTGGACAGGGACTGACTTAGGGGGAGAAGGTGGGATCTGAACCCGGAACCGCTGGTTCCAAAGCCGCACGCCCACCCCTAGCTCAGGCAGAAGGGACTTCGTCATCCTTTAGCCTTCCCCGTGTGCCCCTCCTGTCCGCAGCGGCGTCCGAAATCATTGCAGCGACATCGGGGGAGTCTGCGGACGAGCTAAGGCCGAGCTTCCCGCAGCTGCCTGTCGTGACGCCCGCGGACTCACCACTGGGGGACACCGAGTCTTTTCTTAATGCTTCTGGACGTTGTCCTCACGGCTGGACCTTCTCCAAATGACCACATGAACTCCAGGGGGGTCGTTTCCTCGGTAACAGCCAGAAAAGTGATGTGGGCGTCGGTGGCAAACATGGTTCCGTGTGTGTAGACAGAGATGGCTGTGAGAGTGGGGGAGGGAGAGAAGCGTCGGCGCAGAGGGCGGGGACCGTGCAGGGACGCCAGCGTCCTCGCACCCTCACCTCCCACACAGGGCGCCGGGAGGGACGGTCCCCATCCCACATGGAGGGCTGCAGTGGGAACCCGCTGGGCGACTCTGGCCCCAGATCAAAGGCCACCGAAGCCATAGCTCATAAAGTGAAAGTGACCACCCCTGCGAACTCTCCCCAAAGAGCACGGGACGGGGCCGAGGGCAGGCGGAGGCTTCTACATCGCGACTCACCCCACAGCTTCAGGCCGAAGCCTTAATGCATGTGGTTTCTAGAAAGCACTAGAACGAACCGCAGGGGAGCACAGAGCTGGCTCGAGGGCAAACGTAACTCTCATCAGAGTTCATCAGAGCACCAGGCGACCTCAGGGGCCCTAACCGGCCAGACTCGGAGGGAGGACGTACGCTGCATGTGATACCGGACGGTCACGCGGTCCCACGCCTGGCCACCCCCTGCTCGGATCTGAGATGTGAAGGTCACGTTGCTCGAGGGGCTGGCTGGAAATCGATGCAAGACAACGGAGCCTGCACAGACGACAAAACACAATGAGCACGTGTGAGGGCCGGAAGGGCCATGCCTCCGTCTCACGCGGTGGATGACCAGTATTTCCATCGTTCACGCTCTGCCTCCGAGTTCTGGTGAGGTTCAAGTTCTGACGAGTGAGCCTGGAAGTCGGACAGGCCTGTGGGCCATGGGCCTTGTCCGGAACGTCTCTCACAACATTGTTCGGTGTTTCCTGCTCCTGAGAGCAGCTGTGCTCGGGGTGGGCATGTTCATCCCGTTGCTGGACAGCCTTGTCTTGAAGGATCTCCCCGACGGGCACACTAAGGGCTGTCTTACTGCACAAGGCTCTCAACGGGGCCCCGGGTGAGCCTCGGGCTGGTGACCCCTCGGATACGCAATGCAAAGTACCTCACGTATAGGACAGGTGCACATGTGCGTGTGTGTGTGCATGTGTGTGCGTGTGTGCATGGGTGTACGCGGAGGACAGGCACCACACGCCCCGCTGGGTCCCAGAGGACTGGCGTATCTGGGGCGGCTCAGAACAGCCCATGTGTCTGCATGAGGAAAGGAGGGGTCTTTCCCTTAAAGCACTGCTACCCAGTGTCGTTTTTCCCTGCATAGGGAGAAAATGCTCATTTGTAACAACGGTCACGCGGAGTGCTGTCCCGTTCACCCGAGCTTTAGAATTTCCGAGAAATCGACCCCATGACTGACAGAGACGCCCTCCCACGGCAGCAGCTGCGGCTCTGCAGGTGGGAACGCGGCACTGGCCACAGAACGAAACGCACGCGCGGATCTGCGTGGGACACGTCGTGCCACGCGCACCTGTGCCGGGCCCTCCGATTCCAGCTCCTCACACAGGATCACCGGGGACAGGCTGACCAACCCCCACCTGCCTGGTCTAATTTCTTGGGTGGAGAGGCTCCCACGAGGCCAACCACATGGAAGCCATACAGTCAGTGTGGGGAACCAGGTACAAAGACCTCCACGTGAGCGGGCACCTCAGGACACGTGCCCCACTGGCTTCCCCTCCTCCCCACTTCTGGGAAACATAACCCATCGCCCCAGCCACTCAGGCCGAGCACTCTGCGGCTGTCTTCAACGGGCACCCATGTCTGCCCACAACTCTTCCCTCCACGTGCTGCTGACACGTGGCTGATGCCCCGCTCCCGCCCCGCTGGCCCCAAGCCAGGTTCCTCGTCTACGACACTGAGCGGATGGGGGGCCCCTCGCTGGTGACCGGGGGCTGATGGGAGCGGAGCACGAGCAGAGGGCCTGACCCCTGTGAGCGCTCATCCATCCCCGGCTCCTGTGTTTCCGACACCAACCTCAATGCCTTTCCTAGACTGTCAACCCCGAGACCAGGACCCGGGGACTTCATCTGCACATGCCCCTCGGAGCACAGCGCCGTGCCAACGAGGCGGGGGAGAGGATGAATGGGTGTCTGTGTGGACAGTCGGCTGGACCCGGATGGTACCACGCCAGTTCAGGTGGGTCTGGGCACTCGACTCCGCGTCTGTCTCTTACCTTCCTGACCCACGCCGGGGCCGGCAAAGATGAGAAGCTCGTCCTTGTGGATGCTGCTGGAATTCATGAACACGGACACGGTCGCAGGGCCGACCTCCACAAAGTAAGGCCCCAGCTCCTTTTCAGTTCCACAGAACTCGTAGATAAATGCCCGGAGCACGTGGACTCCTCCTGGGAAGAGAAGAGGCCACGTGATAGTTACAAAGAGCACGTGCAACCCTGAACGTCCGTGCAAGGGCGATGAGGGGTGCGTCCTCTGGGGACGGACCCAGCACGGGTGGCCTTCTCTTGCCGGAGGAGCCACCTCATAGGCAGGGGAACCGTGCGGGGCACGTCACATGCAATAGGGCTTGGCATGTGCTTTCATGCTCGGTGCCATGAATGTCTTAGTCGTTTGTTAACCAAGGATGCTGCCCTGGGCCCCGAGAATGACACACTGGAACGTATCCATGAGAAAGCAAACAGACAACGTCACTCTGGGGTGAGGCAAGAGAAGGCAGGAGCTGTGACAATCACAGACACACACGCACACACACGCACACACACGTGCACACACCGGCCTTCTAGGAAGTGAGGGGTGGGGTGGACCCGGCCGGCGGGAGGGAAACAGACCAGAGAGCACGACAGGAGGGACCTGGAGGCAAATCGAGAAGGATAAGCAAGATGAAAGGAGCAGGAAGGATTCGAGAAGCAAAGGGACTTAGCACATGCGTGGCCAGACTGCCATAAAGAAAGCTGAAATTCCAGCACAGAAATGACTTAAAGACATAATTAAAAAAAAAAAACAAAAAAAACAACTCTTTCCTGGGGATGCCTGGGTGGCTCAAAGCATCTGCCTTCGGCTCAGATCATGATCCCAGGTTCCTGGGATCAAGTTCCTCATGGGGCTCCCTGCTCAGCAGAGAATCTGTTTCTCCCTCTCTCTCTGCCACTTCCCCCACTCATGTCCTTTTTCTCAAATAAATAAAAATCTTTTAAAAAAATCCTTCCCGAAACAAAGGAAACGAAGCATACCAACAGCCTGGAAAGGCACAGCGCACAGCAGACAGAGTTGATGTGGGACAGCCGGCGCTGAGACGCGTTCCCGCGCAGGGACCTCACATATAAACAATGACTTTGAGCCAGACAAAGCCATCAAGTCATCTCCAAGGAGGAAAAAGGAAGCTGACGGTAGAGCCCCACAGCTCGGAAGTGTGGACGGTCACGCGGACGGCTCCCCACGGCACCGAGGACGAGGACCCAGCCCCTGCACTTCTGAGTCTGCGTCTGTGGCCGGAGAACCTGCACTTGATCCTGACATCAGATACGGATGATGTCAGTCCAGGGACCCCACTCGGGCCAGACAAGAGCAGAGAAACCCCTCCGTTCCTCAAGAAAAGAACGTGTGACCAGGATGGAAGAGCCAGCAAGTTGTCATTCACATGTAACAAGTCTGAGTACGGAAGAAGTGGGACCAGTATTCCATGAGTCTTCCTGACACGCCTATTCCAAATGACGCGTCTGATCCAGGCCGCTGTCCCAACATACGGAGGTCTCTCAACACTCAATGAGCAAGCAAGTAGATTAGAAACCGGACGGGGGTGCTCCAGACAGAGGCACAGCACCCAAGGAGTTGGCGAGACAGGGACCAGCACGTGACAAGATGCTCCACATCCCACGTCAACGCCAAGTACACGGGAACCACATCCCTCAGGGACAGCCCTGATCGCCCCCGACGACACCCACCATTGGCCAACACGTGGGGCCCAGAAGCGCTCGCTCACCGCTTGTGGGGATGTGGGACTGCCCATGTGGGGTGCCTGGCCGACTCCGTCAGAGGAGTGGGTGACTCCAGATGTCAGGGTTGCGAGTCCCAGCCCCATGCCGGACATAGAAATGACTTAAATAAATAAATACATAAACTTAAAAAATATGGTGCAGCTGCTTTGAGGGACAGTTGGATGGCTTCTTTAAAACTAGATACACCCTTACTCTAGGATCCAGCAATCAAGAGAGCGTGGGACAGACTGGTGCTGGGATATATGCTGAGACAGAGTGGGGCTGAGGGGGAGGACCCCCCGAATCCTGCCTCAGGCCTGGTCCCCCTCCTCCTCCTCCTCATACGCTCTCACACCCACATATAACACTCGCACACATGCACATGCGTTCCTGGCAGGGGTGTGATCAGGAGGACCAGACAGAGGGTGAGCGCAGGTGCTCAGGACACGAAGAGGTCGGGAGCCAACACACCCACTCTGATGAGGGACATGGGGCTATGATGCCTGACAACCTGCCAGCTGTCATCGTTTCATTTCTAACATTGACCACGTTTTAAGCCACAAAGACAACTTGGCATGTTTTTTAAACAAATTGGGAGAACATATCTGCTCAGGATGATGGGCTGGAACTTTGAATTAATACTGAAGCCAGAACACAAGAAAGGCCTTGCGACAGGTGGTGATTTTACTTAAATAATAAATAATAATGTAAGCATCCAACTCAAAATGGAAACCTAGAACAAAAGCATTGTTTAAAAGCAGGAAGAAGGCAGTAAAGATAAAAGCAGAAATTGATAGAAGAGGAAATGTAGTCAATTTCCAAATTCTAAGACTGGTTCCTTTTTTAAAAAAAAAGATTTATTTATTAATTTGAGAGAGAAAAAGAGCACGAGTGGGGTAGGGCAGAGGGAGAGGGAGAAGCAGACTCCCTGCTGAGTAGGGAGCTCGATGTGGTTGACCCCAGAACCCTGAGATCATGACCTGAGCCAAAGGCAGGCACTTAACCGACTGAGCCACCCAGGCACCCCTGAGTGTCTGACTTAATTTCAGCTCAGGTCATGGTTTCAGGGCCCTGGGGTAGAGCCCCACGTTGGGCTCCACATACCACATGGTGTCTGATTCAGGTTCTCCCTCTCCCTTTGCCCTTCCCTGCTCTTGGGCTCCCTTTCTTTCTCTGTGTCTAAATAAAACCTTTTTTAAAAATTAAAAATTTTAAAAATTTAAAAATCCTTGATAGGAACCTTCTTACACAGTTGGTAGGAATGCAGACTGGTGCGACCACTCTGGAAAACAGTATGGCGATCCCTCCAAAAGTTAAAAATAGAGCTACCCTACGACCCAGCAATTACACTAGGAGGCATTTACCCAAAGGATACAAAATTACAGATTTAAGGGACACATGCAGCCTGATGCTTACAGCAGCAATGTCACCCACAGCCAAACCATGGAAGCAGCCCAAGTGTCCATCAAATGACGCACGGATTAAGAAGATGTGGTATGTGTATACGCACATATATACAATGGAATATTACTCAGCCATCAAAAAGAATGAACTCTTGGCATTTGCGGTGAGGTAGATAGAGCTAGAAAGTATTACGCTGAGCAAAATAAGTCCATCAGAAAAAGACAAGCACCATGTGATTTCACTCGTATGTGGAACTTAAGAAACAAAACAAAAAGCAAAGGGGCAGAAAGAGACAAAGCAAAAAACAGACTCTTCGCTGCAGGGAACACGCTGCTGGTCACCAGAGGAGAGGTGGGTCGGGGGGAAGCAGGTGACGGGGATGATGGAGCGCACCTGCCGTGATGGAGGGCAATGTCGACTCTGTGTTGCACACCTGAGACTAACACAGCACTGTATGCGACCTAACTGGGGTTTAAAATAAAAAAAAAAAGTCCTGAAAAAGGAGGAAAGATGAGAAGCTCCTCAACACTCAGGAAGTTCTACCGGCCCCAAATCTGGTACCAAGCTTAACGGGTGACACCAAAAGCATCTCGAAACAAAGATGCCATGTCCTCTGTCCTCAACCACCTTGTTCTGGAAGCAGCAGCCACGCTGAGTGAGTGAGACGAGGACAGGACAGGTGTCAGCTTGGAGGAACGGGGAGGGCGTGTCCCCATCTGTAAATACTGTTCACATGACCAGCCAACACTAAGGAGTGAGCTTCACAGTAACTACACACACTGTGGTCATTCAGAGCGACGGAGGGTACAGAATTCATAGTGAACACAAGCAACTCTTTTACGTCCCAATAACAACCCACTGGAAGAGAAAATGAAAGAAAAGATCTCACACACCCCAGCACAGAAAATAAAATCTCTCCCGAGTATCGTGCACTTTCCCTGCGAAGATACTTTTTTAAATGCTCCTAAAGACACAAGGAAGACTTGGGCAGAGAAAGGTATTTTCACGAGGGGGGAGCTTCTTGAACATAAACAGTCTGCGGAAATCAATTCATGAATTTAACACTATGTGGACAAAAAGGCCAATAAGATGTTTTCATGCGAGTCACTGGGAGTAAAAGTCTACGTGGGAAAATGGACAAGTGAAGATAACCAGAGTAATTTTAGAAAAGACGAGTAACGGAGGGGAGCTCAGCTGCATGGACAGCAGAACCCAACCCACAAGCAGGGGTGAGGAGGGTGGGCTGGGGGCAGAGACTGGTGCTCTCTGGATTCCCAGGGGCAGAGCCAGCAGCACCTGGGGGTGGCCATTCAGATAAAAAGAAAGCAGAGCCGGCCCCCTCAGACTCGTGGCCGGAATGCACAGTCCAATGTACTAAATATTCAACTGCGCGGACATCTCAGAGACGAGCACTGTGCCCTAGGGGTGAACCCATGGCTCCCAGCTCCCTATAAGGTAGAGGTTGGAACTTTGAGAACGTACCATACTCAAAAAATAATAATAATAAATAAACAGAAAGCAAATGGTGACATGGTGCGGGTGAGCAGGACAAGGTCGGAATTCTGCCCCCCGCCCCCACCCCCCAACACCAGCTCTGGGGCTCGGTCCTTTTCTACGCAGACTGGTTCCAGTGCCAAGATGTCTGGAGAAAGACAGCTTTTGTGACTTTGCCTAAATGCAAAGTGTTTGACATCTTAGTGCAAAAGATTAAGTGTGCAATGTTGTGTGTGAGTGTGTGCGCGTGTGTGTGAGTGTGTGAAGGACTGAAGGACCGTATCCGCAGTCCGCACCAAAGCTCAGAGTTTTCCCTGTGGAGGGGGGTCACGTGGCTCACTAGGTATGTTACCACAGGACAAACCCCTGCCCTTCTGGCGTCCCTGTGCTCCTCCAAATGGAGGACAGGGCGATGGTGGGACTCGATGAGGAAACGGTATATGGGGGAGGCACAGTGCGAGCATCTGAGCCTTTGTTATCAGAACACGGCAGGCACGGGTGGAGTGGGGGGAAGTGGGGTCTCCTTTCGGTCCTGGTGTGGCCAGAGCTACCTCTGGGGTCTCGCTGGACCTGCACTCCCTGCCTGGGTTCAGATCCTGACACCGAGTACCCTACCTTTTCCAAATTGGTGGTAGGCGGTGACCGCCATTCCCCCGGACACATTGCAGACCGTCACTTGAACCCCAGAGCCATCTCCGAAATCCACTGCCAGATGCAGAGCTGCTTGGGAAGCCACCTGGACCCCGAACCCCAGACTGGGCAGCGCCTGAACGTCCGTGTCTGGGAAGCCACAGACAGCGGGGTCCACCGCGTCAGCAGGAACTTGCACGGAGACGGCTCCAGGGTGACACTGAGCAGGGGGACAGAGCTGCTTGGGACGAGGCCAGCATGCTGAGCCATTATGGCCAAGGGAGCTGTGGGGAGAGAGAAGGACAGCTTAGAGAACACAGTGGTCTGAGCAGAAGGGACGGAGACCGAGTGGAATCTGATGGCAGGGCTGACTTTCCCAGTTCCCAAAGTGGGGTCCCAGGACCAGTGGCACCAGCATCACCAGGCCCTGGTGAGACATGCCAGGTACATGGAGTCAGAAGCTGGGATGGGAGGGGACACGGGGACACTGAGGGCAGCTACAATCTGAGAGCTCCTCTCTGGCGGCGTTAATCCCAGCCGCGATGCAAATCCTCTCCCTTGGCACTGAAGTAAGGGCCGTACAGGCCATGCTCCCCAAAGGTCACGACCTCTGATGTTTCTGTGAAAACACCCAACACGGGCTGGGTGCCAGCCTTTCCGCCCGCGGCCCATCGTGCTGTGAGCGCGCTGCGTGTGCACTGGGAATGCGCAATCATTCACAGCTCCAGTCCGGATGGGCGAGGCCCGGTCCGAATTACAGAGTCCACCCAGTAACGTAGGCTCTCGTGGGAAAACAGTGGCCGGCTGCGTGGCCCAGGGTGCTGGGGCTGCAAGCACTGGCCACAGCTGCAACCACCACTGGGTGACCAGGGGGACAGTGACGTCGCCAGCTCCCTGGGCGTGGCTCCAGAATTGGGGCCTATGGTGGACGCTGGCCCCCTCCGCCACCCACACCCTACCTTCCGGGTAAGGTGGGAGAAGGTGCGGTCAGAGTGCTGGTATGTGGGCACGCAGCCACCCCAGCGGGGGCCCCCATCGCAACAGTGGCCGCTGTGACGTCGGTCCCTGGAAGCCGCTCTGGGGCCATGTCCTCTGCAGAGCGCCGCTGTCCCAAGGGGCAGGAGGGGGTCTGTGCGCTCAGGCGGCAGGAGCCCTCTGCGGGACAAGTGCACTGGAATTCAAGAGGTGAGTGAGTGAGGGGGTGTGCCGGGGCCTAGGCTGGCGGCCGCGCTGCCTTCTGCACCGTCGGGAAGCTAGAGAATAAGGGTCCCCGTGCGGCTGCGGGCTCCCTCATCCGGGGGTTAGTGCAGGGTGGCCCCTGCGTTGCAGACGGGTCCGGAGAGGGTTTGCACCTGCCAGCGCAGTGGTCAAGAGCGCGCCGCTGGCAACCACCAGGAGCCCGGGGAGCCACTGTTACCCCTAGTTCACGCTGCTCCCTGCTAGCAGCCACGAATGAGCTCCTCTATAGGGTCAGCTATGATTAAAGGGGGCAGCTGAGCAGTGACGCTCTTGCAGACATGGAAACTACGGGGCACACTTTCCTTTAGTGAGGATCCAGCTCAGGTTACGCTTTCAGACTGGCGGAACCGCTTCCAAAGGACTAGGAGCCGGAAACACGGCTCGCCCCCAAGTCCCAGGGCCACCGGACCCACCAGCAGCTTCCCGGAAATGTTCCGCCGCAGCGGGCAGACACGCACCTGGAGAAGCCCACAGAAGTCACCGCACATGTTCCCAGCTGCAGACATCCATCGGCAACAGGGGCCTGGGCCACTGCTGCCCTGGAAGCTCGCGATTGTCACAGAAGGTCCCTGGGAGTTTCTGGATACGAAGGAAAAAGGCAGAGACAGGAAGGCTGGCCGTGCTTCGCTCGCTCACGTGGCCCATGTGGCCTGCACCTGCTCGTCAGCGGTCCGGGTGACAGCGGGGTGCCTGCAGGTAGAGCTGACCCCGCCAGGGCTGTGCCAGCGTTCAGGGATGACTGTCATGGAGCGGGAGTGTATTTAAAGCCATTCACTAACGTCTGTCCCCAGCTGGGACCCTGCTTCAGATGGCTCCCCCAAAGGGCGGGTCACTGTCCTAACATGCTCTGTGGTCTAGGGGAGGCAGCCTGGGCTCGGGTCACAGGGAGCTGACCCCCGAGGCAGAGCCAGGCCTCCGCAGGATTCACCTGTAACTCAGGGCTGCAGCTGAATGCCTGGTGGCTCCCGGGCAGGGCGGCTGCTCACCGAGTCTGGTGCCCTCCACGGTTCTAGGAAGGGGGTACGAGGGGCATGACCACAGGCAGCAAGGATGAAGACCTCTTAGACGGTCCATTTCGTGTCCCATGCTACAGGACCCCATTTACCTTAAACCAGGGGCCCTACAGGAGGGATGTGCTGAGGCCACTCAGGCCCAGGGCACTCAGACAGGGACGCCGTCCCCCTGCTCTGCTACACGGCTGGATCCTTGTCCTCGGGCCGGTGAAGACGAGCCGCTCTGGCCCAGGCTGTCCTAATGTGCTGGGCAGGAAGCATATGGGCTCAGGACACCCGGCTTCCAGCCATGGTCACGCGGCAAAGGCACAGACTTCAGATCGCAGCACAAATGCCACAGGTCCCGTGAGCCCCCTTGCTGCCTTGCCAGCTGCTGGAGCCACACCTCCCTAGGGTCTGCCCCAGGCCCTCCCTGTCTGCACAGGGTCACCTGTTCTCTCCACGCAGGAGCTCTCCCACCGGCCACGCCAGCCGTCCTCCCACAACACAGTCCTAGTGCGCTTGTCCTGGCTGCTTACTCCCTACCCGTTCCCTTAGGTTCCTTTAGTGTTAACGCAGCGATGTTCCTTCAAACCCCGCAGGTGCCCTCTGAGCTCACACAGCCTCCCGAGGACAGACAGGGAGCACCACCCCAGAGTCCTGCTCTGCTCACACCTGTTTCCAGAGCTTTCCTGGAGCAAGGCCTCCGGACCCCCGCCCTGCTGGGGGCTTCTACTCGCTCCCTGGGGACACCTGCCACGCCTGAGAGGGCCTTCAAGAGCATCAGGGCTGCTTCTGTTAACCTGCACCCAGCTCTCCTTCGTCTGGACCCCAGAAGGAAGAGGCCCAGAGGACACAGAAAGGTGCCTGTGTCATCGGGGCAAGCCCCCACCAGAACAGAGTGGTTTGTCCCAGCAGCGCTGCCAGCAGGGGTGGCTACTATCTGTCCCTACAATTAACCCGCTTTCTCCAAACGGGCCACATTCCTTCCCGTGCCTGCCATTCCCCGTTAGCGGGGATGATGCCTTCCTTGGCTCCAGCTAACGGTCCTCCACGTCAGTCCCCGAGCCCAGTCCCCAGCCTCGTGTCTTCCTGACTCCACAGACACAGCCGACGCCCCCACGCATCCCCGTGGAGTCTGGAGGGTCCCAAGTCGCCCTATCTGCTGTTTGGATTACGTTTCCCTCCTGCACTGGATTTAGGGTCCCCCAGGGGAGGATGGGATCTTACTAGTCTCTGTAACCCAAATTCTGCCTTGTAAGGTGGGGGCTTCAAAAATGGGGAGTTTTATGGGGAAGAAGAAGGAAGAATCATGCAAATAAATGGAGGGCAGGTGCGTTGAGGTGCACGGGGAGGGCTGGGGGCACAGTGGTTCCGGTGCCACACGGGCAGCTCGCCTCAGCGAACATGGTGGAAATGCGCTAGTCACCAGGAAGGACAAAGAAACGTCTGCATCCACACACCCTGTGTTTGCCTTCGGAAAGATCGAGTTTGTTCTCTGTATGCATCAATGTTTAATTTTCATTAGGGTGAGTAAAACCATAGATTTCAGGACCAGCGTGAGGCAGAATCCCAAAGCAGGCCACGTGTTTTTAGAAGGACGCCGACTTCCAACTTCTGATGGTCCAGTGCTACGTTCTTATGGTGGCAGAGCAACCACAATAAAAACATGGAGCCAACCGTCTTTCTCATTCTGAAACGTTCACTTCATCCATGCTCGGTACCTCTGTGCTGTTATGAAACAGACCTCGAGGGTTTTTCACCCTAAACCCCGCGCCCACTGAACACCAGGTCCTTGCTCCCCACCCCAGCCCCTGGCACCCACCACCCATCCTTCTCCAGGAACCCGGCTGCTCTAGGGGCCTCGTGCACGTGGAATCTTGCAATATCCATCCTCTGGGACTGGCTTATTCCACGTAGCATCCCGTGCTCAGGGTTCGTCTGATGCTACCATACCGCACCCGCGAGAAGGTGTTCTGAGCTCTCTGCAACCCCTCATCCTCACCCCAGACAGCACACCCGACCTGACGCCAGCCCGGGCAGGTCCTTGCACGCCCCTGTGCAGTGCTGAGGAGCAGGGCTCCGTCGGGGCTCGCGGACATACCTGTCGGCATAGTCTCCCCGATCCCAAGCGGCCCGCATCCTCCCGCTGACAGCACTTTGCGCTGTTCTGCTGGTTGTTTTCAAAATGTTCTGGAAGGGGGACAAATAGCAGTCATTTAAGAGCTGCTTACAAAACCCTAGCTATATTATTTCTGTCCTCGGATAGCAGCTGGCCCTGCTGGGCCGCAGGGAACAAAGCAGGCTAGCCCCCTGTCCTCCCAGAGCCCACGTTCTCGGGGTCGTGGGGGGCAGGCCGGAGAGCGGGAGCTGTGGATGCCAGGAGAGTTGGGGGTGACGGGGGAGGCAGGGAGGTCAGATGGGGTCTTCGAACCTGGGACTTTGCATGTCCTTCTGAATGAGACAGAGGTGTGGGCACCAGAGTGGCATAATCTGACCCATGTTTTGGAAGCCCCGGCCTGGCCACCTGTTGATAAAGGCTGAGGGAGGCAAGAAACCCAAGGGAGATGTTCGGAGCTGGCTCTCCATTCAGACACTGCATCGGCCCTAGAGACAGCCAGCGCCGATAAGGGTAGGACAGCAGCACTGGGTCTCCTGATGGAGTCCTTACAAGACGCAGGGCACTGTAGGCCGTTTGTGTCAAACTAACCAGCACAGACCTGACTTGACTGACACCGGGGCTGTGTCCAGAAGAACCGCCATAAGCTAAAAGTAATGTGAACTGGAAAATGCACTGAACACAGCAGCCTCCCGAACACCGAGCTTAGCCCGGCCTGTGATACGCATGCTCAGAACACTTCATGAGCCGACACCGGGCAAAAGCCTTGGCTACAAAGCTGATTGTATAATAAAGCGCCGACCGTCTGCTGTGAGTGACTGGATGCTGTACTGAGGGTGAGAAACAGAGAGCCGTGTGGGCGCAGGAGGGCGGTCGGGGCATCGGCTGTCGACCTTGGGACCGTCCACCTGCCGGGTAGCGAGCTGCCCCCCAGCATCCCGGGAGAGGACAGGCCGCATGTCACCAGCCCAGGAAGAGATGCTGTTCAGAATTCCAAGTATGTGAACAGCCACCCTAACAGTCAACGTGACAAAGCGTGACAAAGCAGGTGGGGAGGCCGCTAGGCCGGTGGGGCTGGCCAGCGAGACGGTGCCACACTGGGAAGGCCGATGGGCCACCCGACTCCCGTGACCCCAAGGACCCCCCACATCGAGTCACAGGCCCCTCGAGGCTGTGCGGGGCAAGACTGACTACCGTACAAATGTAACAAAAGCCCCAAATGTTTTACTTGGCATTAATGAAAACATAATTCCGATCAGGAGCCCCAAGCTTTACCGGGAAGCAGTTTTTAGGAGAATAAGACACCCTAAGAAGAGAAACGTTAAGTTTGCCCTTGCTGTTCCATCCTGAAGACAAGAAGACTGAGAGTGTCTGTCTTCCCTCCTGAAAGACCCAGGGTTTGCCATGACTCAGGGTGGGGTGAGGACCCAGCTCAGCTACCCAGTGTGTCTGGTCTTGTCCTTCTAAACTCAAGATGTGTTTACCCAAAATCACTCCCAACCTGCCACATGAACTACAGAAATGGGTTTTATAACCTTCACTACCCGTGATATTCACTTGGGGTAAGAAGTTTAATGACTCATTTGCGTTTGTTCTAGAAAACTGTATTTGCTCATCAACTTTTTATGTAACATTGAACCTACGAACTATGATATTTTATGGGTCTCAGACCCAATTCCAGAGTGGGGGGTGGGGTCCCCCCAAAACACCAAGGGAGTTTCAGATACTCGCAAGAATTCAACTTACTTCTGGCCCCTTCTACCCAAGACAGCATCAGACCCCACAGGTGATAGGTTTGGTTCCCCCACGCTGTCCCCCACACACTGAGGCACTAGCCGGAGCCCCAGGCTGGCCCCTCTGCTTCTGATCTGCCGCTACCAATGGCGGGTTCCAACACTCTCCTCCCTAGGTTCCTTTCATTCCCTAGAGGGGCTCACAGAACTCAGGGAAACCCGTAGTCATGTTTACCAGTAAAGGATACAATAGAGGATGGGACTGTACAGCCAGATGGGAGAGGAAGGGGGTGTGGCGCTCCCATGCCCCCCGACCATGGTCCACTGTCCCCAATCTCCACGTGCTCACCAACCCAGAAGCTCTGTGATCCCATCCTCTTGGGTTTTTAGGGAGGGGGGGTGGTTAGAGGTGGGACTAAGAGTTTCAAGCCAAGAATCACAGGGCTGTTTCCCCCGGCAGACAGCTCCCCAGCCCTGGGAAGGGGTCTGAAGGTCTCCTTTAACATAACACAACACACCCTCTGCCCCTTAGCTAAGGGTGAGTCCAGGGGTATGGGGAGCTGGGAGCCCTGGACAAAGACCACACGAATGACCAAAGCTGTATGTCTTCCAAATCCCAATATGGCATGTGACTGTTACCTAATCGGGGTGTAAAGAAGTCCATGCCATAACCTGAAGTAAGGCCTGTCTGTTCTTCCCAGCGAGCACAGCATTTTACGGACGGATGGAGTCTCGGGTTTGCAAAGCCGGGCCTCAGAACGCCTCACCAT